GGCGGGGCCAGCTACCGTTATCATTTAGCTTAGATGTTATTACCTGTAAAGTCTTGTCAGTTTTTAATCGTGTCGAAAAGGGGGGGGGGTATCCATTTAAGATTACGACCACATTAATATTATGAATACCATTAGATGTTTTTTTTTTAAAATTCATTTTTAAGTTTTATCAAATTCTTTGATAAAAATTATACACAAATAGTCACTCAAAATTAATTAATTCTCAAACGCGGCTGTTGACAGTCATATTGAATGAAATATAGCAGTAGTATTTATCGAATATGTTTATTTATAAAGTCAATAATCTCACCACAAATGATCTTCATATTGCTAAATAAGTAGAATAAATTTCAGAATTTGGAGAATGCCAAGACATCGCTTCTTTTCATTTGCATCGTAATCCAGTGTTCACGATTAGCGCGTGCAGTTGCAGTTACATGTAGCTATGTGTTTAATTATCTGCGATGTTCTATCACAGCCATTGGTTTCATTTTAAAAAATGCCTTTTATACAGTGAGTGCACATATCTGTTAAAAATAAAAGCATGAAAATGATGATACATGTACATAGAGATACAAAATAACAATCAAAATAAAAATAAAAAACAAAAACAAAAACAAAAAACAAAAACAAAAAACCAAACGTGTACATGTAGGAATATGTTGCTCTAGTATTATGCGCTATATCATGTATATTGTAAGACTATATGAACTAAATATCGACATGATTTTTTTCTTCAGAAAATCAATAATTTCATAGCTAGTATTTTACTGTAGTTCTTTTTTCTGCTCTTTTCGGAAATTATTAAAGTCATGTCTATGAAAATTATGAACAAATTTCACGTATTGTCAATCGGAAAGGCTGACTCTTCTATCAGCCGTTTAATATGGGCCCTAAAATAATTTAACACACAACACAGAAAGTCTTAAACTTATTTTAATCAGCAAGTTGCCATGCTTCAAGTTTTCAGATTGTTTGTGTTACTGGTCTATACCCTTAAGGAGATACCTGCAATACCTACACATTACGTAATCTTACATCATGAAGAAACACTGACGAACAATTATGAATAAGATTAATAAATGCCATGGAAACAATCATATCAGACTGTGAGTTTAGTTAAATATTGGGTTTTTAGCTATAACTGTTCCTGTGTTTTCCTTAAATTCACATATTTATTCGACAAAATCCACAAATGGTCAATAAACTGATAAATCAGCGACAGCAAGATCTACATGTATCTGTTCACGGCAACGATTATTATGGAATTTAAGAAAATCTTATCCATTAGCAATTTCATTAAAATCACATCATGTTTAGTTTAGTTTCATACGATAGACTTGAGAAATCAATTAAGGAATGTTTTTCAGTTTTGTGTGAGTTATTGGTGTGTGAATCACACAGACTTGTCACGTAGGCATATTTCATGAAGAACGCTACCTTATATTTACATTTTCCAGGTTTGGAAGTGTCACAGGGTCAATCGTTTCAGAGAAAACGCTGGATTCGAGTAATGATGTTTTATTATGGATAACAGAAAAGAAACCTAGAAACATAGAAAACACTCTCACAACACACACATTAACAAGAGACAAATAAAGCACGCTAAACAATGTTACAAATTACACAACATGCAAATTCACGTCGCTGTCATTAAGATATTTTACGTATTATCAAAATTGATATAAGTATTTACATCATTAGAATTTAATCTTACCAGGTATCCAGTATCATAAAATAATGAATATTATAATAATAGTAATCAAGACATCGTATAACTCGATGACTTCATAAATGGTTAGACCTCATAAACCGTGAAGGTAAAAGCTGATAGATATCTTATTTGGCGGGATAAGCGCTTATATAGTGCACGAAGTTGGTATACATGCATATTAATTATCAGATAGAGGTCTGTCATTGGTCCACTGGTCGTACTCGTATACCTGGTCGATTGGGAAGCTAAAAATAGAAACCTCACGTGACAAACAAAACATTCACACATGGCACTCATTCACACAAACAGCGCTACGTTTGATTAGCAATGCGCGCTAATCAAATATGAATTATTAATAAAGTATCTAATTAAATATCAACTGTGACATTAGCAACTAAAATGTACTCAATATGAATTTCTCGCTGTCCTATATCGCTGCATTTTACTAACGTCGATGCAGCCTCATTGTGACGTCACGTTAACGCACGTTTCTCCGTGTATATTTCTACGCGTGAGTATACACAAAAATGACTTTCAAATCAATTTCACAGTTGGCTTAGTAGAAAAACACAGCGAATGTAAATATTAAAATTTATACTGATCAAACGGTCTTGCACGTGCCTCAAGTTTATTATATAATGCTCTCTCTCTCTCTCTCGTTATCTACTAACTGGTACAGGTATAAACAGAAACGTAAATAAAATAGTATAATGAATCATTATTTGATTTAATTAATGTCAAATACTTTAATTATTAATTTGTTTTAAAAGTTTGGGTTTTTTTTACTTTATACATTCAGTTAAAAAAAGCAACAATATATTGACTAAAATTCAAGGCAGTTATCTCATTTGAAAATTATATCGATGAATTAATGAAATATTGAATCAAATGCTGTGTTGAAAGGCTAGACAACGACGTGCACATTCAGAGAGAGTTACTCAAGGTACTCTAGGACAGGTGTGAACCCCCCAGGGCATGCCGTTTTCTGCGTCGTGACTGCTAATCCCCAAACACAGGTAATGATCGCGGCTAATACTTACACAAAGAAACAGAATTTGTCAAAGAAATCGAAAGTATTTGATTCTTTTATTCATTGAATATTATTAAAAACTTAAGTGTAATGCATCCCCCTTCTTAAATTTAATTTGTTCTGTGAAGTTTATCACCGTACCTGCACATCCTATCTTATTTTATTGCAAATGAAAATGGAGAAATATTAAAAGTAAAAAGAAAAACGTATTTTTTTTTTACAAAACAAACACATGTAAATATGAAGGTGAATTGGCGATATTTTTTTCTTGATATCTTGTATAAAGTTCACATGTAACTGCAAAGTGAATTCTCGCCATTGAAATAAAATTCACGTTTTCCGGTAATTTTACACTTGAGAAAAATTCCTGCACAATAATATAATACAGCAAAATGAATTGAAGAAAAGTGTTCTTAATCTGGGAAAAGAACAAAAACAATGACACGAAGAAGAAAAGATTTTTTTCTTGATATCTTGCATAAAGAAAATTTAATTTCAAGTGCCCACTACATGTAACTGCAAAATATCGCCATCGAATGTTTCCCCGTAATTTGATACCATAAAGCGAAATTAATTAATTAAGTGTTCTAAGTTTTGGAAGAATATATGCAATATGAGGATGTATATTTTTTTTCAAAGATTAATTGTACATTTTTTTTTCCAAATGAATGCTGAAAATCGTTTATCGAAACTCACACTGTCTGAGTTCAGCAGTATTAAAGTTCACATATAATTTAATATGAATAATTAAAAAAAAAAAAAAAATCTAATTTTGTTTCTTGTTAGAATCTGAATAACACAAAAAATTAACCAACAGAATAAAATATTTAATTCTAATTCAAATATTGATAGATAATTTTAGAAAGAAAATTAAATATATTTTTTCTTTTTAATTTCTTTTCATCATATAGCTAAATAAATGAAAATTCTTCTTTTAATAAACATACAGTGTCGTTATTTTTTTTGTTACAGGAAAAATTCGCAAATTACAATTCGGAGAGATAACTCCCGTTTGTTTACGATACTAATTGTCAGTAATTGATCGCTGATTTAACCGCGGCGGGGACAGGTAGGTGATGAAATTCCCGCGGAGGGAACGCGGTTTACCTGTCTCACCTGGCCAAATACAGCGTTGTGTTTATACTGCGACGGGGGCGCGGGAAATACGGGATCCGCGTTGCCTGTACTGTATCAATGAACTTAAAATGAAGAAAAAATTTTACTTTCGTTTCGAAATTTCCTCTTGTGATACTTTTTTTTAACCATGTATGATTTAGCTCACTTCATGAAATACTCGGTATGTCTGCGTGGCTCTGATATTTAAACTCCAATAAGTAACACTAAGCTTTACAATTTGCCTTCAATGTTTTATTCATATTATAAGTAAACTATGTTCATGTAATGAAGCCATTTTTAACGTATATGACTAAATAATAGTTTTTATTTTTGATTAATTTTCTCTTAAAATGTATTTTCTTCAACAATTTGAAGCTATGTTTGACAAAAGACAACCACAGCATATAAAAAACAAATATTTCTGAGATACAACTGATTTTGCCCTTTGCTTTATTTTTCTCACGCATGTTGTATCGTATTGTATTGTATTGTATTGTTCATAATTTATGTTTGTATTTTCTATTCTGTTGTGCAGTTTAAGAGAATAAACTATTGAAATTGATAATTTTTCATCCAAAATAGGTTCAAATTTAGCATATATTTTTTTTTACAATTGATTTCAAACAGATTATTATAATATTATGTGAAAAATTTTTTTATTAGAATTACTGTAAATTACAAAGCCTCCCTAGCCCCTGATCTTGACCTGCCTAATTTAGATTCCAGCAGATTTATCAGGAAATAAACTCAGAGTTATAACAGAGACAAAAATAAGAAATGTAAATATTCACGTTTATACCAGTTTTGCTATATGAATATGGTACTGGAAATCATACATTACTATCCTTCAGCACTTCTTTGAATGCATTAAAAAATCCAGGCATTTAATAATACTTCGCGAATTATAATCAGGTCATTAAAGGTACAGAGTATCCAACATTTTTTTAAAGCGATGATCATGACTCCGTCAAGCCAAGAAATTAAGCCTTGAGTTGAGAGAATTCCTTGTAATATGATTACTTGCGCAAGGCATTCACTATTGTTGTGACATACAATATCTACAAGTTATGGTACGTTGAATATGACTAATTTAAAATGCAAAAGTTTGTGTGGTTAAATCCTGTGACTCATTGAGATTTGATATTTGTTATTTTAGGAACTGGTGGAGAACTTACAATAGCTTTAAAAGGTTTGACAACATTTTTATGATTGTAATTTATCGACTATAAGTATGAGATATGCAATATTTTATTAGGTTAAAATTAATTTAGTCAATAGAACACAAGATCAAGAAGTCTCTTATTTTTTCACGGATATTCTTTAATAGAAATGGTATACCTTTACAGGGGCGTAGGAACAAGGGGGCCAAGGGGGGCCTTGCCCCCAACATTTTTTTCCCAACCTTACTTATACTATAGGAAATAGTTAATAGAAAGCCTGGTTGCCCCCCCCCCCTCCCCCAACTTTTAGAGGTGTACCGAAAATGTAGTATTAAAATTGATACTGAAAGTAGTTGACACTGCGAAAAAGTCCCCCCCCCCACACACACACGAAAGAGGATTTTTGACTTTATCTTTTTTTTTTGGTCAACTTTTTCAGGTAAGTAAAAGAAAAAAAAATTTCTGGCTGGTCCCCCCCCCCCTTCTTGCAAAAACGATGCCACGCGCCTGCTTTATTATTGATAAGGCCAACAGCATGATTAGTAAGGTGATATCTATCAATGAACTTAAAATGAAGGAAAAATTTTACTTTCGTTTCGAAATTTCTTCTTGTGATACTTTTTTTTAACCATGTGATTTAGCTCACTTCATGAAATACTCGGTATGTCTGCGTGGCTCTGATATTTAAACCCCAATAAGTAACACTAAGCTTTACAATTTGCCTTCAATGTTTTATTCACATTATAAGTAAACTATGTGCATGTAATGAAGCCATTTTTAACGTATATGACTAAATAATAGTTTTTATTTTTGATTAATTTTCTCTTAAAATGTATTTTCTTCAACAATTTGAAGCTATGTTTAACAAAAGACAACCACGGCATATAAAAAAACAAATATTTCTGAGATACAACTGATTTTGCCCTTTGAAGACCCCACCTCCATGTAAAAGTAGTAAAAGAAGATGGGCATATTTGTCGTGGGATCTCTGCAGGAATCAGTTGAACGAAATATTTATGGTTTAAATGTCCATGATTTGGTTGGCTGACCATATAGTTGTTTAGTTTTAAAGGGGCCTGGACACAGTTTCAACAGATTTTTTAAAACTAATCTAAATGTTTGCAATTCTCTACATTTCTTCATAATGTAAACAAGACCCGTGCTTTTTTGTTTACATATAGGGCAAACTGACCATGGTTCGGACGGTTGTTGTTTTGCTTACAAGCAATAAGCTATTGTTCCGAGTAACAGTGGTCTAGACTCTTACTGTCGACGGGAAAGTGTTTTGGAACCTTTCGGGTTTTATCAATTGTCAATAAATCACCAAAACACTAAATACCTCTGTTCCAACTAGAAGTTAAATTCATCAAGCGATTTTTACCATGGTTCGAACTATCTGACCAAGGATTAGCTGCAGATCTGTAGCGTTATGGTTTTATATATTGGTCTTTGACCATAACGCTACAGATCCCGTAATGCAAAAAAAGTGCAATTTACGGCGCAATATTTTTTGCGCACTTTTGGGGAGAATTTCTCCACTTTGTAGCATTGATCAATCAACTACCTTTCACTCCCTAATTCTAGACACATTCTGTAGCCAATATGTATATTTTATCCACCTCCCAACCATTTATAGTTGTCTCGACAGGCAATTAACTCGCTTGAAGTGAATTTTCAGCAATCTAACAAATAACTTTTATCAAGCGAGTTTATCACTTGTAGAGACGACTATAAGGGTTGGGAGATGGGTAAAATATACAGATTAGTTAAATAATGTACTTAGAATTAGGGAGAGAAAGATAGTTAATTGAAAGTGGAGAAATTCTCCCTAAAAGTGCGCAAAAAATATTGCGCCGTAAATTGCACTTTTTTTGCATTACGGGATCTGTAGCGTTATGGTCAAAGACCAATATATAAAACCATAACGCTACAGATCTGCAGCTAACCAAGGATCGGACATGATAATATACAGTAAACAAATGCTTTTTTTTAAATAACAGATATGCAATATTTACAGGCTCTTAGTAGCGAGAGGGGGAGCCCCCTTTCTAAAACATAACATTTTACAACTGAAAATTAATTAGATATTCATTGAAGGTGTGCCCCCTTCTTTTGTTGTAGAGTTGTTACATCGTAGTGTTTTAGTAATGCATTCCAGCATTTGATAAAATTTTAAAGTGAAAGAAAGTTTGACCCTCTTTTGAGTTCGTCCCATTTTCTTTGGGGTCGTTCGTTTGCTTGATTACTTTTTAAATTTTTTTTCTTGTCAAAGTTTTATCAGGTAAGTTGTTAACTAATTTTTTTTCTGATTGCTCTCCCAAACCCTTCAATGTCGATAGTACGTGTCTGATTTCTTTCAAATACTACATATAGAGTAGCATGACTTAATAAGAAACCTCCAATAAGATTGTAATCATATGTTTCCCATTCCTAATAAAAATCGGGGGGGGGGGATATTATACTAACCCTATTTTTCATTATCTCTCTTTCCTCTTTTTTGTGTTCTAATTTGTCTTTATAAGTATTAAATGACATATGGTGAAAAAAGTTTCGTCATATTTTGGCTAACGTCGCAGTTTCAATTTCAGTAAGAAACCATCGCCGTAGTCAAGGGTATCAACTCTGATAAAGCTTCAAGCAACTGACAATCGTTTGAGTTCGTCTGATTGATTGATTGATTGTATTTTGTTTAGCGCCCCTCTTGAGAATTTTTCACTCATATGGAGACGCCACCTTTTGTCGGTGGAGAGTTGCAAATTTTCCTATGCTCGGCACTCAGGGCCATTGAGATGCGAGGGATCTTTTTCGTGTCAGCACCTACTGCGAGACGGGGCATCGGTTTATGCGGTCTCATCCAAAAGACCTCACGTCCAACAGTAGAATTCGAACCCGCGAAGTAAGGATTGACTCCTTACTTCGCGACTCTAGAGCAGACGCTCTAACCACTGCGCCACGCGGGCGACTTTGAGTTCGTCTGTAATTTGCCATTTAAACACTGAAATATTAATATTTAAGAAACAAATTTTTATTGCTTGAGTACCCCTCCCATTTTCTTCGACTGTAACCTCAAATATGTCGAAGGTTTCCTCCAAAAAACGAGACTGAAATTGTGGCATTTAAAAAAAAAATGTGTTTAAATTTTATTGATTTTGTTAGTTATTGCTCTCTCAATGCATATTTTGAAGGCCATGTTTCACTTGAAATCACCATTTGCGTCAAATACCACCGCATATTCCAGCAAAGTAAGTATAGTTTTCCTTGCAGTTCGTGTTCTGTACGCAGTTAGCTTCTATTTTTTTCGTCTTCAAGGGAAAGCTTGGGCTTGGCATCGTCTCTTGCTAATTTAATAAGGTACTAAGAGGGATTCGTATAGGTATTGAGATCTATACCATTTCCAGTAACAAGGTAGCGTGTATTACAAAGTGTTACCCCCCCCCCCCCTCTCCTCGAGTCGAATATACACCTTAGCTATAGGTCCAAGGATTTTGTCTGATGACATGCTGACATACCATTAAGAGCTGATCTTTGAAAAAAAAAATCTGGATCCATGCCTGTCAAGTCAGTATTACCAATGTCACTCAGGCTGTCGCTACATTATGCCTAATGTTTCACATATCCGACTAACTAGAAATGACGTTTTTTTCGGTCTGGTGTTTTCGGTAATGTGTAATTGATAATCAAATGATTTTTTGTCTAAATTTTGAAAAGGCAAGTTTCAAATACTAGCGGTTTCCATTTTATTAGGAAATATGCAGAGAGTTGGCCCAGTCTTGTTAAATTGGACAGTTTTGGTTTGATTAAATAATTTGACACCTCCAAATTTTATAGAACTTTCAATAAAGAGTGAGATCGGGCATATCCTGACAGAATTTGCACATTTTGTTTTTTTAATCAGTAATCACATCTTATTTTTTTTAAAAAATCACTTATACCGTAAATCTGAAAATTTTTACGTCGATTTATTTTTGCGAATTTTTGTCAAAAAGCTGTTGATTAATTTTTACGCTTCAAATTTTTGCGAATTGTCACTGGCGTTAAAAATAAAAATCACTGAAGATTTTCAAACCAGGTATTGTTTCAAATTAGTATGCACAGTTAGAATACCACCAATTTACTTGTAACGTGGCAAGAAATTGAAGAATCGCTCCGAAACAATTTTGATAAAATACAAGTACTGAAAATAACTTCTTAATTGATTATAACAAACATTTTAGAGGTTGTGTATGCCTTTTTGTTTTAACCTTAAATATAATCCAAATGAAGTAAAAAATATAACTAATTTTCTCAACGTTTGGTTTTTCTCACCTAAAATTTACACGCCGTGTATACATTTGGAACTCTCTAGTAAATGCACTGAATTCGAGTTATCGCTCGTGTTGATACACGGTTAGATAAAATAACAGATCTCTCTTTATTAGCAAAATAATTTAAAAAGTGCATACCACCTCAGTGCTTGTCAAACCACCGGACGCAGAGGCGTAGTCACAAACTTAAAAGTGGGGGGGGGGGGGGCTCAACTCCAGAAATTCTTTGACAAACAAAAAAAAAAAAAAAAAAAAAAAAAAAAAAAGAGAGAAATTAAAAGTTCCCCAAACTCGAAAATCCTATTTCGTGGGGGAGGGGGGGGGGGGGGTTAGTGTCCAACTTTTTCAAAGACAAGTTACTTTCAATTCCTTGTGATTTTGTTCTTCTTTAAAAAGGGGGGGCACAGACATACGCTTGCCCCCCCCCGATCTGAAAGTGGGGGGGGGGGCTCATGCCCCCGCTGCCCCCCCTCATGTGACTACGCCTATGGGACGATATTGCATATAATGAGGGTAATTTACAGTCACGGGTAATTAACTTGTAGTTATAGTAGTATAAACAGGTTTCTTATATAAATGACCAGTGCTTACCGACGCCTATTCTTTGAGTTAAAAAAAAAAACACGAGCTCTCAGAAAAAAAAATTCTTCACATGTTAATTTATTTTTAAGAAAAATATTTTTGCGAATGCAATGCCCGCGCAAATTTACTAAAAATTTATCTACAGTAAAAAATTTCCAGATTTACGGTATAAGGTTTTGATTGAATAATTCATTAATGATGTTTTAGGCAATAAATAACGCTTGATTGATGTCAGTTTTATTAAAATTTATGTTTACCAGGAAATTCTTTATGGAAAACAAATATCTTCTTACAAAAACAAGGATATATTTCCGATATGTTTTAAAAAGCATATTTGAATGGATAAGCACACCATATGCTGCCGTTCGCTTTAAGTTAGGAAAGATCTCTGAGAAAATAGTGTAAAAATGTTTAAAACAATATGTATCTTTAATCACATTCTAGGTTTCAATTTCTTTCTAATAGGGGAAGGATTGGTAGATAAGACGTAAGAAATGGCCAGAATGGACGCCAAAATCGAACTTTCATCAGCCGAAAGAAACTTTATAATTTTTGGATTTGCAATCATGGAAGAGGTGCCCAAGATATTGCAGATTCTGTTAAGTATTAAAATCAAAGCCTCAGATCTGAAACAAGTGATTCAAAGAACACCGATGCTGATAAGACCTAGAGGAGACCAATTGCGTCTTCTGGCGTCCAAGGAAGAAGATCCAGACTACAAAACTTTTGATATTAGTTTGTTATACCTTTTGCTGAGAAACCTCTGTCCTGACTATAAACCAACGGCAGGTTGGGGAAAGATGCCCCGTCTGGAAGATAACTCAATAGGAGATGACATTGAAAGGTTAAGAGTTTTACGAAATGATGCTTTTGCACATGTAGCGAGTACAAAAATGACAGATGCCACATTTCTGAAACAATGGGGTAACTTAAATCAAATTTGCGAACGTATGGAAGACAATATTAACAGATTAGGTCATGATTTACAATACACTAATGAACTACAAAAAATTTACAAAAAGAAAGTGTCCAGAGAAGAATCCCCCAGTTTTCTTTCCAAATTAACAAAGTTGCATATATTTGGAAGATCGTCTATAACTCAAGGTGAGGATACTGCAATTTCAATCTTTTACGATTGTGATGATCAAACATTGGATAATATTGGTTCCTTATTTTGGAAAAGAGAGAGGAATGGAGTTTTGCATTCAATTGATTTATCAAACTATAAATACGAAGGCAGCCAGAGGAACAAGCTCGTTATTCGAAAGACTTCCAAAGAAGATGAGGGAATATACCAAGTAGAAGTCAAAATGAAAAATGAAAACATAAGCTTCCAATCAAATGAAATCCAACTGACAATAACTGCAGGTGAGTATTATATGTGGCAGATGTTTAATATCATGAACAGATAAACTAAAAAACACCATAACACAGAAACTCTTGATCACACAAACCCCGAACACACCGACCTATATACCAAAAACACACCCGCCCTAACATCCTCATACATACAACAATAACTTGGTACTCGTGGACATCCGTAATTATATACATATTTTTGGAAAAGGAGGGTTGTTTAAAAAGTTCGCGGACTGATTATCAATTTTCTAAATAAAGTCTGAAATGACGAACGTGTACGGTAATATCTTAATTTAGACCATGATTTAGTTTAATATACAAAAATTTAATTTAATTAACACTATATTATATTATATGAACATCATAGGTGTAAAAAGTGTGCGAGTACGGGTCAATCTAAGGTAAGCTTATTTCATAAAAAATGTTGATTGTGTAATTTTCTTACACGCCCATAGACACATATAATTTTCTCTAAAATTCCACATATATGTATAGACCATTAATTGATTTAGATTTAAAGATTCAAAACAATATGTATACACGAGAATTTGCGATCGTCATCAATCAAACACTTCGTTTACACAGACTGCACAGCCCAGTCCGACTGCACTTTATTTACAGTCATGAATAGGAATATCCTAATTTCTTAAAAATAAACAATGGTTTTCCATTTTAGGTCACCTGAGTAAACCAATTCCTATCCGTTTTTGTCCGTCTTCTTGCGTTGTGCGTAAAGATGAACATTTTCAGCTTCTTCTCTGCAACCACTGAACCAATTTTAACCAAATTTGGTATGAAGCATATATGGGTAAAGGGAAACATGGTTCCCGTCCCCCTGGGGCCTGAGGGTGGGACCAAAACCTCTAAAATTAATACAGTCTTCAACAATCTTCTTCTTTACTTCTGGACATCAAACAGTCAAACTAGCTGTTTGCATGATCGTAATCAGCATTGACTCCTCTACCAAAATTGTGAAATTCATGCCCCTGGGGTCCAGGGAATCTAGTGCTAGGGCGGGGCTAAATAGATTGTTTAGTGAAAATGTCATATTTCTTTAAAAGTCTTCTTTGCTTCTCGGCATTATAGAAACTAAATAAGTACATAGTTATATTGAATAAATCTGCCTCTTCCAAAATTCTGAATTTCATGGCCTCAAGGTCAGGGGTTCTGGTATTAGGGCGGGGCTCTATTTATCATATAGTGAAAATGCATAAATTCTTTGAAAATCTTCTTCTATGCTCTTAGTTATTAAACAGACTGACCAAGTACATAGTTATGGTGATCATAAATATCTCAAAATTGTGAATTTTGTGGCCCCTGGGGTAAGGGTGGGAGTCTATTGATTATATAGGGAAAATACATTAACTCTTTAAAAATCTTCTTTTCTGCTCCTGGACACTTCGAAAGTATTACACACTTTGAAAAAAAATTCCAAAGTGCTTAAAATTCAAAAGCAACACATTAAAAAAAAATTAAGTGAGTTAAATTTGATACACACTCAACGCACTTTGAAAAAAAATTCCAAAGTGCGTTAAGAGTGTACATCAACATTTTTTACCATTGGAAAATTTAACGCACTCTGAAAAAAAAAAAATTAAACAAAAATTCTAGACTAGATTTTGGTAATAGAGAGAAAAATTTGTTATAATTATATCTTTCGAAAAATTTTATTTTACGTGAATTGATAAAACCTTATTGAGAGCAAGGAGAAGACGAGAAAACGATGAGAACGTCTCTCAGTCCAATTCTTTTTTTCTTTTTTTTTTTTTTTTTGCAAAGCCGTGGGTAGCAAATTAAACGTCCCCCCGAAAGTAAGCCCTAATTTTCAATGTCTATATTATGTAACTACATCTTTGTAAAATATTCGTGTGCCTTGGCACCTCTCCCGGTACCCGATGCCTATGATTATGCTGCACCAAAATATGTATTTGCATAACTAGTATGACGTTGAAAACTTTCGATAAATTTTAGTTCACATAAAATGCATGCAAACTGAAAAAACTGAAAAACTGAAAAACAATTAAGTACAATTATAAAACATATAAGAGAGAAAGAATTTTCAAAGTATGGAAAAATCAAAATCGCTCACTTTACATCCTGAAGTGACCTTATCACCGAAAAGTTATCCAACAGGTTCAATTATTTATCATACCTACGATTTGCAAGAATATCGACCATACACTTTTTCAAGTGCGTTAATATGATCGATGATAACGCACTTTGAAAAGATATTTTATTTGTTCAGAGTGCGCTTAATTGTTCCCAAATTTAATGCACTTTGAAAAAAATTATTTTTCAAAAGTGCGTAATTTTTCAAAGTGTGTTGTAACAGCGCCTCGTCCAAAACTGAATTTCATGGTCTCATGGTCAGGGGTTCTGGGGCTCGTTTCTCAAAAAGTCGTAGATTTGGGCCTAAGTTAGTCAGACTAAGAAAGTTACGCCAAATTCTAGTCGGGCCTACATCGCGTTTCAGAGAGCGGCATAAGACTGGGTCTAAGACTAAGACCTCTCCTCTAGGTACTAAGCATGCGCAGATCGTATTTTATTTGGTTTAGAGACTACAATGACATGTAGTGGATCAAGTCTAAACTATCAAACTTAAACCTACTAAGGCACAGGAAGCACGAGCGCACTTGCATGCTTTCTCTTTTCACCGTCTATCAAACAGATATATTATACGACCCCATCTGCATTTTCAAGGTCAAAGCTATAACATATAGTTGTGGATTCAGAAATCTTGAAAAGGGGGGCAGATTGGGGTCGGGTTAGGCGCCCACAGCCACACTAAACAAAACTGACTGAGTAAATCTTTTAATCTTTTAATCTCCCTCTGAGACTACATCCACAAGTGTTATATTAGATATCTACATTAAAACAAAAATGATGTACATACATGATTATACATACATGTACTTGCGAAAATTTGGAATAAAAAGTAATTTTCCCATGAGCAAAAGCCATATATGGATATGGGCTGGAACAGACTCGAAGCAAAAGTTTTGAAAGTCGGGAGAAGGGGGGGGGGGAGGACAAGTATCTGAATGAAATTTTTCTGTATTTAGAATACTTTACGCAGATAGAGAGAGAAGGGACAGAGCCCCCGACCAACAGGCGTACTGTCAATAATTTATCAGTTATGAAATCATAATTATCATAAAAAGAATTATTAAAACATGATAAAAGATTTTTTTAAATGATTAGTTGTCTTTAAGACTTACATGTATATATAGATTTCTTTGGGTCCGTTTTTGTGAAAATTTAGACAGTCAATAGACTTAATAAAATTTATGTTTTGTACAAGAAAGAAATTGATACATGTGAAACATTTTCTGAATGGGGGCCTAAAATGACCCATACCATATATATTTCTTTATAATTTCAATCAATTTATTCAATATGAATTAGACATATTGGCAATCAAGGTGATACATGTACCTGCATTTATGATACATGTATTACATTTTGGACATACAGTTTTACATTGATATTGTTATGATAATTTACATAGGCCATGTAGAAATACATATGCGTTATACCGCTCGTGTATCTAGGTAAGTCTTAGCTTGGTCCCTGTCTCATCCTTGCCTGGTGACGTGGAGTATATACGAGTATATACGAAGCAAAACAGGGACAGGGAACCACGATAGGTAAGTCGAAAAATTTGCTTTCATGGCGATAGAATTCTGACAGCGCCGCACTACACTACAAGGCTATTGAGTACAGAAGTGAGATACAGTTATTTGGACATTAGTTTTATTGGAGGATCGTTACCGATACACGTTGTATGAATTAACTTTTACTGATAAAGCACAATATACAACGACTCTTAAACTAACACAACTACCCTTAATATATATACCATGCCGATCATTCATGTTTTAGGAAAAATCCAGCCAAACTGGGCAAAGAGTTTTTTCCTCGGACAGGGTGGATTTGGGAAAGTTTATGTTTGTGAAGATGGGATTACCGCTGTGAAAATTACGAAGATTGAAGGAAACCCAGCTGAAAAAAATAAGGTAAATATGATGTTTAAGTCTGGTTTGGGGTGGGGTGGGGGTTTCGTCAACCAGTTGGTTCTTTCATTTCTTTTCAAAAGCAACACTTTTTCAGTTTCGTTTTCACCTGCTGCCTCCTTCCCAAAAGTCATGGAACAGCGAGTAGCGATAAAATATGTGTGAAAAATAAGCCGTGCATTAGTATGAAATTGAAAATACAATGGTAGCGAGTTTGAATCGTACGATGGGTGATCTGCAAAGAAACAGGTTATAGTTAAAAAATCTTGTCAACAGAGTTAGGAGCGTCATCAAACGTGATGTTCACTGTTGCGGAACTAATAGAGTTATGCAGAAAAGAATTTGAAAACACTGACAATCTAGCTCAAGCTTATTGCACAATTGTTAGCAAACTAGGTGTTCCTTTACTAGCAGACCTATTTTTATATTCATATGAAGCAAAATTTGTGCAAAATCTTATGCATGAAAACAGTGAAACACTTGCTGTGGCTTTCAACTCGAGATTTAAATATATTGAGGACGTATTGTCAATTAACAATGGCCATTTCCATTCCTACATTGATACGATGTATCTTGATGAGCTTGAGATAAAAGATAACATAGAGCCCGACACTTCTGTTTCATACTTGAATATTTTACTTGAAAAAGAAACTAATGATAATCTAACAACCAAGCTCTGTGATAAATGTAATGACTATACTTTTTCTATCGTCAACTTCCCTTACTTATGCAGCAATATACCTTCATCACCTACATACGGAGTGTATGTATCTCAGTTGCTTCGATAAGCAAGAGCATGCTATACATATGACAAATTTCTTTAAATTAAGGTAAATTATTGACAAGCAAGTTGATGAAACAAGAATATTAGCAGTCTCATTTAAAATCATAATTTCGTAAGATCTATGTTCGATACAATGACCTTGTCAGCAAATTGATCATTGAGTCAAATGCTGACTGACGTTTTTCATACTAATTGTTAGTCCATTATTTATAAGCTGAATTGACGACGGTTTTTTCCATTATTTCCCGATCTTGACAAGGAGCACTCGGCGGGTGTGACCGGTAAGAAGAGGATGCTCACTCCTCCATGGCACCTGATTACACCTCTGATGTTTAGGATGTCTGTGTTTCCTCTGCTCCTATTTTGTATTGTTTTATGGACTTTGATATTGAATACTTCTCGTTATCACGATATCCTTATGATAATGACAGAAGAGTTGGTTGGGATGACCAAGTTTTATAATTTAAAAGATTTATTAAGGTAACAAGATGTAATGATTCCATCAGCTCAGGTACCTATTGTTTTTTTCTCTTTATACCCGCACTTTCTAAAGAAAGTTCGGGTATATTGTTGTTACTCATGTCCGTCCGTCCGTCCGTCTGTCACACTTTTCTTCCCTGAACTCCTCCTACATTTTACACAGTAGCTTAATCATCTTTGGGGAGATGGTTATTGGTGTCATGTAGATGTGCAGTAAGGTTTGGGAATTTTGATTTTGTCCTGGGGGGTCAAATGGGGATCGAAAAATGACGTTTTTCATGCAAAAAGCCCCATCTTCCCTGAACTCCTCTTACATTATACACAGTAGGCTAATCATCTTTTGGGAGATGGTTGGTAGTGTCATGTTGATGTGCAGTAAGGTTTTGGAATGTTGATTTTGCCCCGGGGGGACTAATGGGGGTCGAAAAATGATGTTTTAAAAATGTCTTAAATCATTTCTTTAAAACTAAGCGAAATAAAAATTAAAAAGAATAGAGGTCAAGGTCACAGGAATGTGCAAGGTGAAGTTTTTGATGCAGTTGAGTAGCTTCACTAATACATATCAGCATATTATGTTTGATAAAAATATCTTGAATGATTTAATGAAACTGAGTTTAACACTTTTTCTAAAAACAAGAGAGGTCAAAGGAAAGGTTGGGACCAAAATGTTGTTGCAGTTGAAAAGCTTACATCAGTATGAATTTACTATTAGCATATGAAGTTTGATAAAACTATAATTAATGGTTTATTTAAAACTTAGAAAAACACATATTTTAAAAGGTGAGGTCAAGGTCAAAGGAAAATTCAAGGTCAAAATAAGTTGACGTATTAATAGCTCTCAGCAGTATGTATCAGCATATGAAGTTTGATAAATATATCTTGAATTGTTTATTCAAAACTGATCTAGACATTAATTTTAGAAAAGTGAGGTCAAGGTCACAGGAAAGGTCAAGGTAAAAAAGAGTGAAGCATTGTAAAGCTTACATCAGTATGTATCATCATGTGAAGTTTCATTACACAACTTGAATGGTTTCTTTAAAATAAAGCTAAATACTAATTTGAAGAAAAGTAAAGTGAACATCAAAGGAAAAGTCAAGGTCAGAAAATATTGCTGCAGTTGGATAGTTTACATCAGTATGCATCAACATATGAACTTTGATAAAATATGTAGAAAGTTTCTTTGAGCCTGATGGAAAGACAGATGGAAGGGTGGAGGATGGACATGTCAAAAACTATACATGTATTCCTAATCATGGTGTGGCATAAAAAACTTGAATCTACATTATATGAAGATGTTTCCATCTATCAAGATTATACAAGCAAATTCAAAGAATTGTGGTCCTCTGCTTTCTGTGTTTTAGTGAATGGGATGCCATAATTTATGGCAGATTGTGTGTCAAATATGCACCCCTATCATATATCAATTTTTGAAAATTGGGTCAAAGGGGAAAAATCATAGCATGCTCTGAAACATTTTGTTGCAGGTAATGTACATGTCATATATGAAAGTCCTATCTCTTTTGAATCAAAAGTTATATATACAATATAATATTTTTGAAAAGTAGGTTAAACTTCTAGGTCAAGGTCACAGAGTCAAAAGTCATGATATATTTAGAAAAGTCTTTTCACATGTAATAAACATGTATAATTTGAATGCCCTTTCTTTTCTCTTTCAAAATGATCAATTTGAAATGTTATTTTTTGGAAAGTAGGTAAAACTTTAAGGTCAAGGTCTCACTTGGGTTAAAAAATCATAGTACGTTTAGAAAGTTTTGTGGTAATGTACATGTGAAATATGAAAGCACTATCTCTTATTATTCAAAAGTTATGACCAAGGTTAAATTTATTGTGACAAATGCACATACTAGCTGTCAATAAGATGGACAGACTGACAGACAAATGAGATTTAATGTCCCCTCCCTTACCCCAAAATGGGGGACAATAATGCCCTTGCTGATCTTGAGAAGAAGATTTATGATGAAAAAAATCCCCTGCATATTTCTTAACACAAATCAATATTGTGTTTTTAGGTCATTTTGTTTGTTGTTAAACATCCCTCTCAGGAATTTTTCACTCAAATGGAGACACCACCACTTGAAAAATAATGAGGACAAGTTAGATTTGAGGTCAACATTCATTTTAGGAGTTTTCAACCATAAGACGTAAAGAAATATTAACTTGATCCTTCCCCTCACCCCTTCCCAGATCCCTGTTTGTTCATGCATGCAAACAACTACTTGTTTTTACATTTAAAAAAAAAAGTTTATACAAATAGTTTAATGTGGTCCATCTCTGAATGAGTTTCATTCCTAATTCTAGGAAGATAGGTTGACACAAATTCATGAATAAAATGTCAAGTAATCTTATCATTGATGCACTTTTATTTAATTTAATGCAGTCATATTGTGAACATTTCCAGCTCATTAGGAGAGTGGGGATGACCTCTAGGGGTTCATAACCTTTATACCATTAAATTTACATAAAATAATAACACAAGAAACAAAATTATATATAGTCAAATGGAGAAAGTTTCCTACTATTTAGGAGTAACATGATCATTTGTCATTACAGGGACAGGGAAGTGGATTGGGAGATCACCCCCTCAACAACCCCCCCCCCCGGAATTTGCAGGACTATAATATATACTGGAGGAAATAAAAATGACTTTGGATGCCCTAAGTGTCCCTCCACCCTAGAAAACAGACCCAACCATAACTTCTTCTTTTTTTTTTTTGCTTCTAGATCTCAGGAAATTCTGGTCTGGAACCCCCCCCCCTCCCTCCCAGAAAAAAATTCTGGATCTTGTAGCCGAATGTAACGTCGACAACGGGGGATAACTCTTCAGAATGTGAAAATCGTCTATTGTAGCATCCAATGACCTTTGATCCTTTAAACTTGAACCTAACCGTTTGCATTTCAGACTATTTTACCCAAATCTATACCAAAACTTGTACTTACCGATTGTTATTATTTAGGCGCTGTCATCTTCATGAAATATAATCCAGTTAAAACACAAAATGAAATAATTCCTACTGACATATATGCAATGATGCACAGTAGCCTACTGCACGTGCAGTGAAATCTAAAATGATAATGCCAATGGTAAAACTAGGCCTAGCACTTAAGTTGGGTACGTGACGCAAGCCCAATGTGATGCAGGTGTTCAGATACATGTATAGTGCAAGAACAAATTGAAAATTATCATTTACAAAAGATGCTTTATTTTAACTTTGCCATCTAGGCCTATTTCAAAAAACAGGCAAATAAGGTGTGTTTGTGTGTGTGTTTATGGGAGAGGGGTGGGAGTTGACTAAATTGATTGTGTATATGGCAGCTTTCAAGAAGTTTCTGCCTAATCAAATATAAATAAACTTTGCACATTTTGAAAATTCATCAAAATCGCTTTACACTAATTTGAATAATATTATTTGTTGTTAATCTATATGAGAAAATAGATTTGAAAAGTTTCAATTATGTGCCAAAAATTTATTATCCCCCCCCCTCTTTATCAAACCTAATCTACATCATTAATTTAATTCTGTTGTTTAATTTCCGACGGGTAATGAATTAAGAATATGAAATACCTATAAGATGGAGGCCCATGGGTCACATGGTCACTAGCTGCAGATCTGTAGCGTTATGGTTTATATATTAGTCTTTGACCATAAAATAAAACCATAACGCTGCAGATCTGCAGCTACATGGTCACCTGAGCATATTATGCTCAATTTGATGAATGCATGTATTATGTAAATTATTGAATTATATTGACTTTTTCCTTGGTAAAGCCCAATATGAAGAAGTGTGCATTTAGAGGCAAACACCTTAGTGCGGGTATTACTGTCTCATGACAGCATCTAGTAAATAGAACTGGATTTCGATGACTGAAAGAGACAATATAAAAGAAAGTATAAATCCAATGAACGTTATATATACAATGTATCAATGTATGTTTTTGTAATTTTCCAGCTAATTTCTAATATGCAAAACGAGATAGATGTGCTCAAAAAACTGGAACACCGAAGAATTGTGAAATATTTGGCTTGTCAACATGATTGTGAGGAAATAAGTATATTTATGGAATATTTACAACAGGTGAGTGTAGAAATTGTTAGAATGTATTATTATCTTTACAGTAATATTCATAAAATTATCGACAAAATTTACATTTTGAAGCTGATGATGATCTCTTATTGTCTTCTGGTATCCCATACTTAAAAAATGTGCTTCAAACGGCATTATGAATGTTTTATGTATTATTAAAACACAATTCAGAATGAAATTGTATTTAAGATAACATTTTAAAATAATCATAACATTATGACACTATTAGGGATCACTGAAACGAGAAATTGATGATAACAAACTACTTCAGGAATCTACAGCACGGGATTATACAAAACAAATCTTGGAAGGGCTGGAATTTCTTCATGAACAGAAAATAACACATCGAGATATTAAAGGTATTAAATAAAATGTACTTAACAAATTAAACATTTCTTTATAAAGACATCTGAAATACGAGAGTTGTTTCAAAAGTAAAGTCACAGTGTCAATATCTTTTATATTTGGCGTCATATTATCAAATATAATACACCAAATGATACACATACATTAATCTAATTAAAATTGAATTCTTCATTTCATAACGTTTAAAGGAATTTATTTTATATATGTTTAAGACATAGAACATAGAGAGTGTCGCTGAGTCGAATTAAACCAATCGTCAGGAATTTAACTGTACTTTTTTTTAAATAGAAAAAAAAACCCACACACATAAAAAGCATCTTTAAAGAGCATTGAATGACATCATGCCTATATATATATTTTTTTATCATAAACATTGTTGTTAAAGTCCGATGTACTGAGCAAAGGAAATATCGAAATGGAAAAGAGCAACAACAAACTGTTATGCATTTTGCTTCAAAATGGGGATATCACCAGTAGAGACAATTATGTTGATTCACCAGTCTCACAAGGGAAAGTATGTAAATAAGTTGTTTAGATGGTTTCAGTGATTTCGGGTTGGCGATGGGTCATCAAATGCTCAGCAGATAACAAAAAACGGAAATAAGGGAGGGCGGATGGAAAAGTTCAATGCACAGGCACTTGTTTCGGAAATAATTTTTTAACCCAAAGTATAATAATAACACAAGATATGTAACTCCGAATTACACTCAGTACCTCCTCTTCAGAAACGCACTCAGTTACATTTTCTGATGAAATGCACTGGCAATTTTTTTTATCTTTGTCTTCTACTATAATTTTTCTACAGAACCATTTGCAGCATGCACGTCTTTGTTTTCATTTATTGTAAAAGTAGGGATTCTTGTCTGGTCTCTGACCAAATGAAACAAAGTGTATTTTCTTATAGGTTGTTTTTATTTAAATCTAAAGATTTAAAAAAATATATTATCTGTTCTTCTGATAATGGTGAAACTTTAAATAGAAATGGTAAAACAAGTTTGATGTCTAGCAGGCGTTAATATACATTTTGCGGAAGAGCGGTGTACAAAACTATCCCCCTTTTCGAGTCAAAATTGCTGATAAGCATGAATCAAGATATGTTTATGTCCCGTCATGAATATTGCCGGGGCATATAGTGTTTGTCATGTCCGTCTTCTGTCCTTCCGTCCTTCTGTCTCTCTGTCTAGCTGTCTGTCTGTCTGTGCAAACGTGTCCGGTCCATATCTTTCTTACGGAGGAACATTAGATTCTCCTACTTCACACAACGATTGCTCATGACCTAACGGTGTGTCGTGACCTTGACCAAAGGTCATTTGGGAAAGTTAATGTTAACTGGAGGAAATATTCATAATTCGTGTCCTGTCTGTATCTTCCTCATCGATAAACTTGGTAAGTTCCTATTTCACACAAATATTCCTCATGACCTAATGATATGTCATTACCTTGAACCATGGTCAACTGTGCAAGTTCAAGGTCACTGAAAGAAAAATTTTATATTTCATGTTTTGTACATATCTTTATTTAAACTTGAATCTACTACTTCACACAAAGATGGCTTATGACCTGAGGGTGTGTTTACATAAAAAAATAAACAGGGATAATGCTCAGTTATCATATTCTGGATACACTCATTCACTGGAACTCGTGATGAGTTAACGGTGCGCCTCATTTTCCGCTCTCTTTTTATATGATTACTTTTGAACCCGCATGGCTTGTGGAGGTACCGGGATGGCTCAATGCAGCTATTTCTTTTATTATAAATTCCTTCTACAATTTTATGGACCAGAGCGGCTGACATAGTTGGGGAGTGGAGATGTTACCCAACCTGAATGAAATACAACCAGGACAGTCAAGATTCAGCTTTCCACTTTTTATTAAATTAAACAATGCAATCTATTTGTAATCTTTATGATAATACAATAAGTAATTTCACACAAAATACTAAACATTATACTAAACATTATTAGTTTTAATATAAAAAAATGTAACCTGTTAATAAATAAAGCACGTGAAAATGTTACTAATTTAACAAAAACCGCGCAAGTCTGGAAAATTATCTCACCAGTATGAAATGCAACCAAGACAGTCAGGATTCAGCTTTCCACTGAAATCCTGTCTATCCCGGCCGTTCATTTCATACTAGGTTTACGTTTGTAGATTTTCATCTCCATATTTGTAACTCATTCGAAATTTGCAATAATTACTTTAAATTCTTATTTGAATTTTAATTACTGTTATTCTGACCTTGAGTACTTTTTAAACTTCTAATGTACTTTTAAAATAATTATCAATCTTTTGCATAATTTTGAAATATTGTTTTCCGTAGGTAATTTATCCAAACACCTGAACTCTGGTCACTCCAATCTCATTGGTTGCTTCTTCCTCCTAACCAAATTTATCTTCCGATAAACAAGTAAACAACCGAATTGTTATGAATCGTATATTCTGGGAATCGTTCAGGTTAAAAGGTCACCCTAGCGTGGCCAGAATCTTTGTCTATTTTTAACTTCAGAACTCGTATCTATTACCTCTCTCTGCCGAAGAGTGCAAAATACACAAAACGTGTTACAATCTTATTTTAGTGCGATTTTTGTTATGATAGTGTTATGAACGTGAGCCAAGGTTATCTAAGTTCAAGGTCACTGAAAGAAAAATTTCATATTTCGTGTACGCAGCATTGTTAAGGCTGAAAAAAGGAGGCGGGGCCTAATTTATACGGGAAAAGTTTACTGTGACACTACACAAAAGTACGACTTTTATGTATTCCTCATAATACCAGAAAATGAAATTATTTGCAAATTTATACTGTATTAGCATTATAAACAACAATAAAACTTATAGATGCATTTAAAAAAAAAGTTGCTAGTTAAATCCCATACAGCTGGTTATAAACAAATCACCGATCTCGATGAACTTGTCAATCATGGCGTCATATTGGTAAAAAGGACATATTTCATGTGCTGTGAGAGGCAGATTTAGGAAATTTTTAACAAAGAAAAATGCATTTTATTATAAAACAGAAAATTATTTACAGGTTTTGAATAGGCTTTTAATACCAATGTATAACCATTGTTTAGTGCGATTATTCACTAACTATCGAGAAAATGTAAATAATTATGTCGTGTTTTTATATTCAGGTTAGGTATATTTTACATCGAGATGCCTCATTAAATCCTTCTTTCGCAAGGGCATACACTAAATAGATCTTAACTGTTTTTTGAATATAATTCAAGGATATGTTCCTTAACTTGAAAAATGCTGCTGCTTTTTTAAATCGAGAGCGTGACTTTATAAGTACACAAAATATTTTGTAAAATCAAACATATTTCGACATTCGCCTATTCACCTGAAATTTTCACTATTTAAACGGGAATTCTTATCAATTAAGCAGCATTCTCCAGAAAGTACAAAGCATACATAAATAATTAATAGCTGAAAATTTTAATTTCAAATGCCCTTGCGATATTGAAATTTGTTAATGACCTACATTCAGTTCACGTACTATGCAGTTATCACGTGACTGTCCATCGATGGGACCAAACGTCATTCAGTACAGAGTAGGCTATACTTTGCTATTTCCATACGTATTTAAGTTCTGTGATAATAAAACAGCTGAATTAATATAAATTCAGTATTAAAAACAATTCCCGTTTTTGCACTTCTATTTTTCGTTGATTTCTCATAGTCAGCCTTAACAGTGCTGCGTACGGTCCTTATCTTGCTTATGGATAAACTTGGTAAGTTCCTCTTTCACACAAAGATCCCTTATGACCTAAGGGTGTGTCGTGACCTTAATTTGAGGTCATCTGTGGAAGTTCAAGGTAATTGAAAGAAAAAGTTCATAATTTGTTCCTGGTCCATATCTTTTTTATGGATAAACTTGAAGAGATCTTCATTTACACAAAAATTTTTACCTGAAGATGTGTCATAACTTTGACCCAAGTTGATTTTTGCAAGTTCATGAACACAGAAAAAAAAAATCATGATTCATGTCTGGTCCATATCTGCCTTATGGATAAACGTGGTGAGTTCCCGTTTTACACAAAGATTGCTTATGACCTGAGGTTGTGTCATGATCTTGAACCAAGGTCATTCATGCAAGTTTAAGGTCACTAACAGAAAAAGTTCATTATTCGTGTCAGGTCTGTATCTTTATTCTTTAATTTTTTTTATTAGTCTGCACCTTCGTTTCATTTTTTAAAAAATATGATGGGCAATTAAATTTGCACTTAAAATATTTTAACATTTCTCTCTTCTCTTAGATTCATAAAAGATTTGGCATCTTTAAAAAAGCTCAGCGGGGGTCATTTTGTCCCTTTTGCACAGTTCTAGTTTACCTGACATATCCTTTGTCGTTGACCCTTTTTTTTAAATGAGTGTTAAGCTCAGTTTTAAAGATACCATTCAAAACATTTTTATCAAACTTCATATGCTGATACATAATGATGAGAGCTATTCAACTGCATCACAATTTATTAACCTTGACATTTTCTTTGACCTTGACCTCACTTTTCCTAAATTAGTATCAAACTTCATATGCTGATACATAACGCTGAAAGCTATTCAACTGCATTTACATTTTTACCTTGACCTTTCCTTTGACCTTGACCTCACTTATATCAAATTGTGATTAAGTCAGTTTAAAGAAACCATTCATAATATTTTTTCAACATCATTTGCTGATACATACTGATGAAGGCTTTTCAACTGCATCAACATTTTTCGACTTTGGACTTTTCTTTGACCTTGACCTCACTTTTGCTATATAAGTGTTCAACTTCATATGCTGGCACATACTGATGTAAGAAATTCAACTGCATCACTATTCAAGATATTCTGAAATTTCATACACAAATTCAAATTTTCATGTTGCATCTACTGATAAACTTTCATGTCTTTTTTGAAAGAAATTTTCTGAAGTGACTTAAAATTAAAGATAAAAATAAGCTTTGAATAGATGTAAATTAAATGTGATTTTCTAAACACAGGTGTTATATTCAGTTTCAATAGATACCATTTTATATCTTGTAAATTTGATACTATTCATATCTATTGATACTATTTATATCTTTTCTTATATATATATATATATATATATATATATATATATATATATATATATATATATATATATATATATATATATATATATATATATATATATATATATATATATATATATATATATATATATATATATATATATATATATATATATATATATATATATATATTCTGCTCATATTTTGTATTGTTGGACGGACTTTGAAATTGAATACTGTTCGTTATCTCCATATCCTTCTTTCAAAAGAAAAGGATAATTGGGTTTTTTTTTGCTGGGTGTCACAACCCCGGAGAATACCACATTGTTTTTTTCTGATAAAAAAATCTTATTATAATTTTTTTTGGTAAAATTTTTCACAGAAAATGTTTGTTTATCATCTTTTCATAATGTTCATTAATGAACAAATTACTAAAAGTATCTAATTCATCGACCGAATATCTGAAGCTATAGGTATTCTGCACGTGATTTTCATCCGTCTTCTTATATAATTATACAGTTTTTTTTCGATATTATAAAAGATATTTTAAACAGGTTAAAAATGTATGTTATGGTCAATTAATTGGACCCCACTCCTAGCGTCAATTATAAAGTTAATTTATAGTTTGAAAAATTCTTTAAAAAATTCTAACCATTTAATTTAATGAATCTAATAATTTAAGCTTCAAACATTCTCCGCGGAGAAGACGGTCTGAAATTAGCAGATTTTGGTGTGTCAAAAATCATGGAAGATATTTCAAGTGGCAAGCTGCTTTCACAAGTGGGAACCCCTAAATGGCAATCACCAGAAATCATAAAGAATAAGGGACATGGAAGGAGAACAGATATCTGGTTCGTGTGTGTAAATGGGTGACTCTCATTATTTTATAATGGTAACCAAAGACTTTTGTTTTAAAACCTTAGTTCCTTGTCAAAAATATTTTATTTTGTATTTATTCAGGAGCTTGGGATGTACGATAGTAGAAATGCTAACAGGAAACCCACCATGGGATGAATACAACACCTTTCAAGCTATATTGAAAATTGGATCAGGGGAAGAACCCGAGTACATTCTTCCTGAGGGAATTACTGAATCGTGCAAAAAAGTTTTAAGCTTGTGTTTTAAACAGAATCCGAACGATAGGCCATACGCTTGGGACTTGTTAAAAAATGAGTGGCTCACTTTGTCGTAATCGATTGATTGTGTGAAGCACCAAAAATTACCCTGTCCTGACACTGAAGGTGTGAATTAAATTTTGTAAAAAAAATTATTCAATAAAAATCAGGTTTAATACTTATGATTTATTATTACTGGTGTAAATATTCTCACATTCTTTCAGCTTAGAATTGTTTATTTATATGTAAGTTTGTAGATTGGTGTAAATGAGGGTGATTAACAAATACTTATTGATTATTTACTGGAGACATTCTATTTAACTTTGTAAAAGTCGATTTCCATAATCAATTATAGTTGTATTTAATCTAATCAAATAATCGCCTAATATTGAATAAAATTTGCATATAATACTAGTGATTGAAAAGTTATAGTTATTTAAGTTTGTTTTCTTTTTATATTGAGAAATGGGTTGCAAAATGACCGTGAATGTTAGCTTGTTGCATACGTCTTGTGCAACTGTTAAATTTTAAAATATGGAAAACCTGATATTTAAGCAGATTTTTTAAAAATTACTGTTGCAAAAAATAAACCAAAAAGTTTTTTGTCAACTCAATAAGTAGTTGGGTACATATACTCTGGAAAGTACTCTGGATGACACTTCGATCTATTGAATGTGAAGTCAGTGGCATCACTCAATCCAACAGTGTAGTTGAACAATATCACGGTCATTTGGTGGATTGCAATTCATAGTACAAGTTGTTTTCTCTATGGTATTGAAAAATTGATGTTTCATTAAAGTCTTTTAATATTCTTCTCAGTTCCAATGAGGGTTGTTCGTAAAGTTCGTGGACGATATCAATCTTCTTGTAAATTAAAATATTTGTTTTGTTGATGTGTAAAGGTTCATTCTATTCCATTTCACAGAAATCAATCTACTTAAAGAATGACTCTAATTCTTGGCCAAATTATCGAGTATAATCTGGTTTAGGTCAATTTACGCTTTATAATCCGCGAAGCGGATTATAAAAAAGCGTAAACTGCCCCGAACCAGATTATACTGGATAATTTGGCCAAGAATCAGAGTCATTCCTTATAATTTAATTTTAAAATAATTAAACAATTTTTGATGTAAAATTGTGTTGTTTTTTACGAGTTCAAATTTACCGCGCAATAATACAACCTTAGTAACGGAAGTGATGCGAAGCGAGGGGAGATAATAACTGATACATAGATCTAGCAGCCATGTTGTGTGTTTACACGAGGTAAGATCGAGTAAGTGTTTGAAGTTAAAGATACAATTATTAAATCTTGAATTTTCCATGGATTCCGAGGACTGGAAATTAGGGGATTGCATGGATAAGATGATTAAGCTGGTCGTCAAGGGGGTGTGTCCCCATACCAAACCAGATTATACAAAATGTTCTGCGTTCCTTTTTGGAAATCAACCAATGAGAGGCGAGAATTTAAACAAAATTAAATTATTTCATTTTAAAATCAACATGTTTTGTACCCGCACACTAATTAACGGCAAGGTTATGTCAAAGCATAGCGTCAAGAATTTCTAAAAAAAAAAAAAAAAAAAAATACTATCTCAATATATTTCAAACGGTTTATTCCAATGTCCACTCATGAAATTTATTTTTCTAATACATGACATTTATTTTTATAAGAACTGCTCACGTTCCTTTGACAAGATTTTGTTTTCTTTTATAACTTAATTCTGCTTTCAAAGGGTAAGCAAATATGAAGCGCCTATGCCTTTCCTTGACGTTCCAACTTTTTAAAGTTTTTGTTAGGATTTTAACAGTTAGAGTTTCTTCACAGATTATCCTCATCCGATAAAGAGTTCTGTCATTTAAATACTGCTTGTACTATTTTTACATACATGCAAAACTTGCATATGACATATTTATTTTTTTTCAACATTTTGAGATTTTTTAAAGGATTTTTCCTGAGTAAAGCACACAATTGCATGGTTATCTGCTGCACCTTGACGTTTTTAAACATCATCGTTTTTGTCATTTTCAATGATCACTACCTACCTTCTCTAGTTGATTTCTTTTCGACAAAGCAAACTATTAAGCCATAATTAGGAATATAAATCGATGTAAGAAATCTTAATTTGATTGTTTTATGTTGTTTTTCATTTTTGCTCCATTTTACAGAGAATTTCATGAATGATATAATTAAGTGTATTGTTTGTAACTTACTAAATTTTGACCTACTCTGCGATCCGAATTTTGCGCTTTTAAAATCTGTATTTGTTGTAAATAAATCATGATGTTTATGAAAAAAATAATACAAATTATTTGGATTTGTTTTTAAAATATTTCTTCCAAATTTGACTAACATATGACGTCAAATAACATAGTTATGACAAAAATACACGGACGTTTCGAACTACCATCGTACATCTCTTTTAAAACAAAATAATGTGATAGTCTGTAGATGTTAAAAATGAAACCTTCGAAAAAGTCATTTTAATGATGACAATTTACCGATTGTTACATGTTTAAATGCCAATAGAATAATAAATTCTGAGGGTTAACTGTCCCGAGGAATTTCAACATTTACAGTATATTTATTTAAAATAATCATAACTTGTGGAACGGAAAAGGTACATTATTTTCCCAAATATTTTTCTCCGTCGAAATAAATGCAATATCTTACCACTGTTTTTACAAAGCTATTCTTACTAAAGCTGATATCTTCAGTCACAATCAAAATGGAAATGAAAGTTTCATTCGAAGAAAAATCAGATATACCCTTGATTACATCAGTAGATTTAAAAGTATTGACGGTGATATGGTTGGTTGGTGATCCAAGTCTCGCAGGCCCAACAAAGCTAACATTTTCAAAATGAAAATGGGTTTAAGATAGGTCTTGAAGTCTGCCTAAATCCATGATATAGATGAAGTTGAAGCAAATCAAAATATTTGTATCATCATGTTAAATCTTATGTTCAAGTTTTAATTAAGCTCAACAGCACGTAAGCCAATATGTGCATATTTCATTATTTAATGTCATATTGTTTAAATTTCAAAACATTATGCCTCACAGCTCATCATTTAATATCATATTGTTTAAATCTCAAATCATTCTGCCGTCACATAAGCTCAATCAGTAGAGCGCTCTCTTCGTGATAAGGAGGTCGGAGTTCGAATCATATCCGCCATTGATCTAAGTCGAACTGTTCCTGTTCCAACTGTTTGAATTGAAAATCCTTCTGATGAGACGTTGAAATTCGAAACCTCGTGGTACGTGTTGGCACAATAGAGAACACTTACTGCTCAATGTTCCTGAGTGCCAAGTGATCGTCTAATTCAAACCTTTCACTGATATATGATGACGCCTCTAGATGATTGATTGATTGTTTACTGTTTAACGGCCCTCACCAGAATATTTCACTGAAATGGAGACGTCACCATTGCTGGTGAAGGGCTGCAAATTTAGGCCTATGCTCGGCACTTACAGCCTTTGAGCAGGGAGGGATCTTTATCGTGTCACATCTGCTGTGATACTGGGCCTCGGTTTATATGTTCTCATCCGATTAACCGCCCCTTTTAGTCACCGTTTACGACAAGCAAGGGGGTACTGAGGACCTATTCTAACACAGATCCCCACGGAACGCCTGTATATGAGTGAAAAATACTCGATCAGTCAAAAGATTTGCTACTTAATCACATTTACTTCCAAAACATTCTGCATTCTCATTTTCTATTTACACAAACTGATTCCAATTAAAAGAAAAAAATAATTTTTCTAATAACTCAGCTAAGAATTTAACTTGTTATAGAGTGTTGTTTTAATGCTACTCTTAGGATTTCTAGGTTATGCTAATCATGTTAATGCTATATTGAGCATTTCTGTGGTGGTGTTATAATGCTTTACTGAGCATTTATAGGATGATGCAAAACTGAATATTAAGTGTGAGAGTGAAAACTGTTTTTTCATTTCATTTCATTTTATTCAGGTAAAAATATCACAGAATATCATGATTAACAAATTAAAACATTAAAGACTAGCATACTACTAGAAAAAAGAAATACACACACATTATCTCAGCACTATGCTAATTAAGAAAGATCAATTTAACATATATATGTAATTATTATTAAATACATTGCATGACATACAGTTGATAAATATTACCTAAGGATAGCCCATAAAAGCCTTATTAAAAAGCTTATTTCCAATGGGGTCCTCAAATAACAGCCATGTTAGTAAACAAAAAATAACAAAATTACATAAACATTGGAATTTAGGCAGGTACTTTTATGAGTATAGCATAATGCTTTGAAAAATGACATGTTTACAGTAGCATGTTTTGTCTTGGTAGTTATCACAAAATGCTTATGATACTAAAATAATAAATAAACAATAAAATTAGACAAGCTTTTTATGTAGTAACACTAGTATTTGTAGATAAATAAGATTTTACAGCTTTCTTAAAACTTTGTTTTGTTTTCACCTCTTTTATCTCCATGTTATACTGAGCAGTTATACGTCAATGCCTTATCGAACATCCCTGAAGGAAGAATCGTGAAAAGTAGAACCCATGGTGCGGTATTAGGTACATATACGTAAAGAAATATATATCAATGAAACATATGGAGATAACGAACAGTATTTAAGACCAAAAGACCATATACAAAACTACTTAATGATACAAACGTCATTAAGATTAATAGTTATTGTATTAATGGTTGACATTTTTAACCGTTATATAGTATTTGTATGAAGTGTCAATTCTTCCTGTTTACAGGTCCATTATTTAGTCCATAATGCGAATATTAACACACGAATAATAAATATGTTAGCTAACACTATATACTCAAATATTTTAGAAATCTCATAGTGTTTGAATTATCTGAAAGCATTTGTTTTAATTTCAGATTTTATTTCGGTTGGATTTGATTGTGGACTTTATCCGTGATTTTATATTTTAATTGAAAGACAAAGCATTTTGAGTTTTGTATGATACTGCAGTATCGTCAATATATTACAGTATTGTACACATCGATCTACAAATAAAATTAACAAACTACACATTTTCTTTTTTACGCTATGATAGAAAATTACATTTTAAACAGCAAAATCCTATTTTCAATAATAAGAATTACTCTTACAGAAAATTCTTACCATTTCATTTAATTCATTTTTAATTTGTGCTTCGATTATTCTATGCGGAGAAGAAGGTCTGAAATTAGCTGATTTTTGTGTGTCAAACGTCGACACTGCCATTATTATATCATCGAAGATATTTCAAGTGGCAAACTGCATTCATATATGGGAACCCCGCATTGGCAATCACCAGAAATCATAAAGAATGAGGGGCATCGAAAGAGAACTGATATCTGGTATGAGTAATTCTAAATAATTTAATATTGTAACCAAATTCATTCATATTGTGTTTAACACTTCGTCCCCATTCAGAAAGATTCTTTGTATTCAATAAGGAGCTTCGAATACCCGATAGTAGAAATGCTAACAGGACAACAACCATGGCATGGATGCCCACCCAATGCGGAAATATTTAAAAAAAAAACGGAACAGAAAAAGAACCCAATTACATTCTCCCCGAGGGAGTGTTTGAATCATGCAAAAAAATTTAAGCTTTTGATTTAAACAGAGTCCAAACGATAGGCCGTATGCTTGGGACTTGTTAAAAAATGAGTGGCTCACCTTGTCGTAGTTATCGATTGATTGTGTGAAATTTCATAAAAATTAAAATGAATTTAATAGTTCGCTTTCTGTAATCAGATTGAACTCGTTAACTGGAACTTGTGGAGGTACCTGGATGAGTCAATTCCGCTGACTCAGTTTCGCTATTCAATTATTTACTTAAGTATTGTCACTTTATTTCCAAAGGAACATTCCCGACCTGAGTGGTCAACATGTGTTGGGGAGTGGCGATGTTACCCAACCTGTATGAAATGCAACCAAGACAGTCAAGATTCAGCTTATCACTCTTTATTAAATTAAAAAATCTATTTGTAATCATTATGATTACAATAAATAATTTCTTACAATAGACTACACATTATACTAAACATTACTAGTTATGATATAAAAGATTGTAACCTGTAAATAAATTAAGCATTGATAATTTGACAAAAACCGCGCAAGTCTCGAAATTTATCTCACCTGTATGAAATGCACCCAAAACAGTCAAATTTCTGCTTTCCACTGAGATCCTGTCAATCCCGGCCGTTCATTTCATACTAGGTTTACGTTTGAAGATGTAACTCCTTCGAAATTTGCAATAATTACTTTAAATTTTGATTTGAATTTTAATAAAGAAATAAATAACAAGTTTATAAACTTGTTATTTATTACTTATATATACATTTGAGAGAGACAATTTGAAAATTTTCGAATTTAAATTATTGCACTAACCGTCCGTCGTAGATTTTGAAAATGACACAAGGTGTAAATCGGCTTGCATGGCGGTTACGCTTCGAATGCAACAGGCTAAGGAATCTATTTCGAAGGGAATATTTTGTGAAAGGCTACTTGTGATCAGTTATAGTGAACAGATTGTTGTCTGGGAATATTTTTATTCGTGAAAAATGATAATCGATGCTGAAAAGACACAAGAAACACGTCCGAAGTTTGAAAATAAAAAGTTGGAGGAATTTCGGTCGCCGGAAAGGAATGGATGGATCCGATGGATTGAGACACTTGTCCGAGCCAGTTTATTTTTAATTTGATCAAAAACATTCTACGGTTTCAATAACTAAAGGCATACTTATCGTAAAACACTGATAAACACGGAGACACTGGCGACAGCTTTACACTGAACTACGAAAACGCCGAGGTGTTTGGCAGCTGTTCATGGAATGATATGCAATGATATTTTTCAACAGATTAACACATTTATCGTGAGTAAAATCTAAAGACAAAATAAAAGGTTATCATGAAAATTTAACCAAAGGTCTACAAAAAATAAGGATGAACGTTAAAGACTGTGAAGCTGACAAAAGTGAAGAAAAATGTAAACACACGTTACTCGTTAGGCTCCTAGTTTTTTCTATGTACACAGGTTGAATCGATAGCCCAAAAACTGTATGAAAAAATACTTGTTTACATTTTAAATAAAATAATTATCATTTTACTTGCTTATTTTGTTCATTTTTATACATGAAAAGCAAGTAGAGCAGGTCATTTTATGATTTATGTACCATAGATATTATTGCGCCGTGTGATTAGGTCACGTATTGACCTCTGACCTCTGACAAATTTCATACAGAATTGAAGATATTTTCTCTCTGTATGATTATATAATGGAGAGATACCACAAATGTATATATTTACTATTATCCAGACCTTGAATAGTCTTTAAATTTGCACTTTTAAAATAATTTCCAATCTTTTGCATAATCTTTAGATATTATTTGTTGTAGATAATTTTTCCAAACACATGAACTCTGGTCACTCCAATCTCATTGGTTGCTTCTTCCTCCTAACCAAATACATCTTCCGATAAACAAGTAAATAACCGCGTTGTAACGAATTGTATATTCCAGGAATCGTTCAGGTTAAAAGGTCACCCTAGAGGCCAGCATCTATGTTTAATTTTATCTTCAGAAGCTTGCATCTCCGTCGAAGAGTGCAAATACACAAAAAACGTTGTACAACCTTCTTTTCGTGTAATTATTGTTATGATATAAATTACCCTGTCCTGACATTGAATGTGTGATTTAAATAATGTAAACAAAATAATTGTTATAAAAACAGGTTTAATACTTATAATTAATTATTACTGGTACACATATTCTCACCTTCTTTTAGCTTAGCATTATTTATTTATATGTAAGTTTGTAGGTTGGTATTATTGGTGGTGGGATGATTCACAAATACTAACTGAATATTTAGTGGAAACATTCTTTTGAACTTTGTGAAAATCTATTCCCATAATCAATTGCAGTTGCATTTTATCTAATTAATTAAACAACTTATATTGAATAAAATTTGCATTTAATACTTGTGATTGAGAGTTATGGTTATTTCAGTCTGTTTTCTCGTAATATTGAGAAATTGGTCGTAAAAAGACCCTGAATGTTAATTTTTTGTATACGCCTTGTGCCACTGTTAAATTTTAAAAGATGGAGAACTCTGATATTTAAGCAGAATTTTTAATTTGTTTTTGTTGGAATATACAGACCAAAGGCGTTTTTTTCGTAGCAAGGATACATGAACCATTGAATGGGTATGCCTGGATTTCACGTCGATCTATTGAATATGAAGTCAGAGGGATCAACCAATCCAACAGTGTAGTTGAAAAAGAGCATGGTCATTTGGTGAACTGCTATTGATATAATACAAGTTGTTTTTTATCGTATTGAAAAAATTGATATTTCATTAAAGTCTTTAATATTCTTTTCAGTTCTATATACATGAATTTTTTTTTTTAAATGTTGTAGTTTATACACATTCATAGTAAAAATTTCGAAAAAGTACACTGTTAAACAACAAAAAATCAAATCATTTTAATGAAGACAATTTACCTAAAAGATTAGATTCTGAATATTACCTATCCTAATGTTTTGAAGTTGAATCTCAACATTTACAATATTTACTTAATTCATCATAATTTGTGTAAAAAAAGGTACATTTTGATCCCAAATATTTTTCTCCGACAAAATAAATACAATATATTAATTAGTATCTCTTTTATTAATAAGCTCCACTTACCATGACCGAAATCTTTTATCGCAATGAATATGGGAATGAAGGTTTCGTTCGAAGAAAAAACAGCTATACCATTGAAAAGATGCTCATTATGTAATTTGATAATATTGACCGTCATATGGTTGGTTGGTGATCCAAGTCTCGCTGATCAAACAAAGCTAACATTTGCTGTTTCAAAATATGGTTGGTTGGTGATCCAAGTCTCGCTGATCAAACAAAGCTAACATTTGCTGTTTCAAAATAAAAGTGGGTTTAAGGTAAGTTTTGGAACTCTTTCAAAATCAATAATACAGATACAATAAATACAAGTCAAAATATTTGTGTCACCATGTAGTTCATCGATAAACCCCAATAAAACAAAAAAATGTATGTAGATATGAGCATAACTACTTTCGAGTGGATACAAGCGTGAAGGAAACTGCGATGAAAATGTAGAAAAGCTTGTTTCATATAAATCTATAATTTTGTGTTAATAAATATAGCTATGTAAATATTTTTTTTAAAAAATCTTTTTGATATTTTTCCAAACTTTAATCGAACTTCCTGTTTATTGTTGCCAAAGGGGGAGTTTCGATAAGGCCGTTTATCGGCCCACTTATTTTCATAATGAATTTCAACTTATTTTTTCAAAATTAGTTTAGAATTCAAGATGATCGTCTAAATTTTTGTTATTAATATTTCAAAAGTTAATATGAGATAAATTCACACCGTAGCTGACACAAACTTAGATATACCCGCAAATGCTTTAACATGAGGCCTATGGGAAAATATAAGAGGGTGGCATTTATAAATGGATATTTAGAATATGAAGTGCATGAGGGACACTCACCTAGTTTTGCACATGTATTAGATAAACCTTGCGCACTAATATTTTATAATATGATGAGTGTCGCGTGTGCACTTCATATCCAAAAATTGAAAATTGTCTAAAATTTGTAACCTAAAATTAGAACCTGCTGGTTACTTGATCATACACCGGGATAAAATAGAAAGCCAAAAGTAGGACTTTTTTTTAATCAAAGATAATTTTCGATAATATTGACAATAGAATACATTTTCGGATACTGTCTTTATTTCCATACTTAATTTTTCGTCGCCAGCATTTATAACGTTATAACGTCACATTTTTAGTTCAATTACACGGACTAGTATAGGGTGAGTTTTCTAAATACCATCGGTCATTGGCGTTCCCAGTTAAATATTTTTCAAGCAGATATTTTTTATATCTTCTAGTCCCCTGATCCAGTAATTCCTTGTCACCTGTCGGGTTTCAGATGCTGTATCTTAAGCTAACATGTGTCGAGGTAAATGTTTTTTAAAGTAAGCTAAAGTTTTTTTTAGCAATTCCGCTACAGTATAAGTACTTGATGACTAGACATGCTTCATGATGCATCTTTGGATGCACAGCACCAGATTTGTTTTGGATGCCGAGTCTGACTTACATTGATGAATGCTCAGAGTAAAAAGTTGATCAAATATGCACCATTTAGATACATGAATGATACATTTAGGGGTGCACATTACCAGAAATGGTCCAGATGCCGGATCTTACTTGTATTTTCTGACTGATTGAACTGAAGAAGTGAAAACAATTCCATTTCTTTACATTCTGTATCAAACATATATCAGAAAAATTATCATATTAACCTTTTTTCGAATAGAAACCCTTGCTCTAATCTGCTAGAGAATGTTCGTTATGTTTTTCCGTGTGGTTGGTATTTATGAAGGGAACGTAAATTTTTTAAAGACTAGATTTTGATTTATAGGTTTCTGCAGGATTTGGGATTTAACACTTATCTTTGGCATTTATAAATGTATTTTGAACTGCGATCTGGACTAACACGCAGCACAGTTAAGGTTACAAATGGAAATATCGGCGATTTTTTAAGATAAAAGATAGTATTACATACTTTATTAGGATGGGCAAATCTTTTTTAGGAATTCACTGATATAAAAAAAATGAAATGTGGTTTAAATCTACATGTTGGGGACATTTAGTTTTTTTTTTATTTAGACTTGTCTTATGATGTCGACGTCACATGACTTTGGCCATTATATTTGCAGTTTAGAGGTCATCTATAAATTTCAATATTGCAAGGGCATAACCAAGTTAAAAATCTTAGTTTATTTTATAATCCTTTTCAACACTATATATAGTTTGTGAAAAGTGCTGCGAACCTAAATAGATTCCCTTTTTTAATTAGTAAAATTTAATTTGTTGGACGGCAGGTTCAATATTTTGCTGGTCAACTACATTAAATATAGCTATAATTAATTTATTTGCAAGATTTGAAGAGGTTCGCAGCACTTTTCAAATATCTTAATGCTTCTTGAGTTTATGTGTTAGATTTTAACAAGATACATCGAGGGTATGCCCTTGCAATAAATCGATTTATTAGGGCCCTTCCATTACTTTTTCAATGAATCTGCATACAAACACACGACAGTATCGCTTGTCTGGAGAATGCACGTACAGTTGAAAAATAAAATACTAAAATAGACATCGCATCCAAGTTAATGGCTTTTTATTTTACTGCAAATAATATTTTATTTGAGAATAAAAGAGATTTTTCATTGTATAAAATGTGACTTGATCAGCTTCTCACTGTGTAAAAACTGCGTCATTTTTGCGAGATGACGTCATATTGACAAGTGCATTGCGATCGATGCATCGTTTATATACGGTTGTATGGGATTTAACAAACGACAAAACTGCATGTAATAATAAGTTTGTATGTAGTATACAGCTCTCCAGCTGTTTGAAATAGCAATTAATTTCATTTTGTAATATTTTGAAGACCTACTATTTTGCGTGACGTCATAATAAACATTTCCCGTACAAATTAGGTCCCGCCTCCTTACTGTAACATTAACTGTGCTGCGCACTCAATCAATGAGGTCTTATAAATGTAACTAGACTTTGCGAAGCATAAAGAGTGGGAAGCAAGAAGAACATAGTCTTGTTTAGTTTCAGTTGTTGAGAACATAATGTACATCTTTAAGTTGAAGTCGACTTCAATATATTTTAGTGTTTTTTTTTTATCTTTAGGCTATTAATTTGAATGAGTATTTGCATTACCAATTATAGTTTTCTACCTGCAAGTATAACCTGGTTTTAACTTTCAAAAAACCATGTAAATTCCATGATTCCCCACCCCCCCCCCCCCCAAAAAATGAAGCGAAACAAAATACAAATATGATCTATCACTTATCGATATTAACTCATTTACCAAAACTTACAATATTTACAAGCATTTCGAATAAAAATTGGACCCCCCCCCCCGTTAAAAAATCAAAAATCCGTCAAAAATCAATTCAAACTCGATCTCTAATTCAGCAGAATACACTCAGTACCAAAAATAAGCTTAATAAATTAAAATCTGCGAACAAGCGTTTATAGAGAAAAGTGTGGAATACCAAATGGGACAGACTGATAGACAGAGGGACGGACAGCTAGACATATGGACAGACGATAAGGAAACTATACTTGTAGTCCCCTCTGGTTTCACCGGTAGGGGACTAATAATTGCTTTCCTGATAAAATATATTGACTGTGTTTCATATTATTGATATATTAAAATACAATGAGCATAGCAATAGGATTCTTTTGAATATACTTTTAAAATAATATAAATATAAACTTTCGTTTCTTAAATCGTACCAAAATCCTTTTTTTGTTTACGGCATGGTTTAAACTCAAATTTAATTATTTTAACTGTATAATTTTGCAATAAATTTTGCGCTTAAACTTTAGTTGATGAAAATGTATTGCAAACAGTTTAAACACCTGTAAATTACAGCCATAGTTGATCTATCTCATGTCTATTTATTTTAACATTTGCTTACCTATGTACAGGAAAACTGTTATAAATTGATTATCATGTTCAACTTTAAACTGTAAGTAAATTCCTCTTGTAAAAGTTTCTGTCTATACTGTATATATATGTTTTATAAGTCAAATTCATCCTCTTTTAAAGAAGAGTTACAATTAAAACTCGAGACAAATCTTGCACCTTAAAAAACATTCATATAGAATAAATGTTATTAATTTTCTGTAAAAATAAATATTGAAATTGGTTATTCAATGTCTTTATTCACATTTATCACATTTCATTTATGATTTGACGTTGACAAAAAGTCCAGTATCCCGTTTTAAAAATGCCTACTCCTTAAATGTAGAGAAGTGGGTATACTTAAGCTTTTAATTATCACGTGACCAGAAAATGTGCAGTATAAGTTATTTTCATATTTTTAGGAAGATAAGACATTTATCTACAACATATCACAATTTCATAACATTTCTTGAGGGGCGGCAAAACAGCCTTATCAAACCCCCCCCCCCCCTCTTTGCATTAGTTACTATGCGTGTCGAACTAGTATGGCGACGAGAGAGAATTTAAATAGAACGAAAAATAAGCATTGTGAAAACAATAGCTATTGATCTGGGCATTGATAGTAAGAAAAAGATTATCTGATTCACGATATTCCTGCATGCAGCCTTTGCACAAATACCCTGTATCTCACAGTTAAAGTATTTTCTTTCTCTGAACAATTTTTTTTATTAGCTAAAAGGTCCATTAGCTAATATGAAACCATTTGTCTTTTCTTTTTCCTGTTTATATGAGTTTATTATCTCAAGGACAAGGCGGGGAAGTCAGAGAGAGTGTTCAAAACGTTTAAGGACTGGACAAGTCTCTGAAACATTTTTATTCTGGGGACATCCAAGAATTAAGTATTGCCAATGTGAGTAATACTGTTTCATTCAGATTTATTAAGTGAGTTGTGTCCGTTTTATTTCAATCATATATTATATATGTATAATGTTCAACTACAACAAATATAGAATTAATGATTATGTCATTGTATTTACACTGTTACATTGTGTTCAAGATAGATGACACAACAGTCTATGTCAAAGCCTTAGCATGACATCTATGAAAAAGCAGAGGTATCAGGTTTATCTTTGCATGGCAAAAATTGGTAGCACACACAAAGTAGACTTTGCATATTGTCAGTGCCCCATTGGGTAAGTATTACAAGTTTTGAACTTCGGCTAAGAGCAAGGTCAAAGGCTCAGTATTTGACAAAACACTACAACAAATTTTCATCAATACCCCCTCCCCTCCTTCCCTTATTTTGTGGGGCGGGGGATGAGGTAGATGCTATCTTTTTCTCAATATAAACTTCTTTCAGTACCAGTTTTTTGGCTCACTTTAGAATAATGAGACTATTTTTATCATCATTATTTTACAATAGGTTAGCTGAAGCCTGCAACCATATTGGTTGGTAGCATTTTGCAATATGCAATGGTATCTTTATAACACCCCAGGGAAGTGACCATACCTGTACCTATGCACATTGAAAATGCCAAGGTCAGTTAATCAGAAACCAACACCAATAAGCACACTGAATCTATCAAATCCTCGTTTCCAGTTAAAGAAGATAGGTAAGGATAATATTGCAGGAACCGCTTTGTCCGGCTAGCATAAACGTCTAGTTTTCTCAAACACTTCGAAACTATTCGACAGATATCATATTTACGTAGATTGAGTGGTTAAAACATGCATAGTTTACACAATCTACGACTTGTGTAGGAATTTAAACAGTTAAAATAGCAAAAGCAAATTTCACGACTATAAACATAGTTCACAGTATATAGTTTCTGAATTTATTTGAATGCCTAATTCATATTTTATTCTTGTACAGTACCTACACTTAAAGGACAAGATAGGGTAAGAGCCGTATTCGGCCCCCAATTTTTGGTGTCTATCAGAATTATCCAACCGTTTATCGATAAAACCCTGTTGTCACCCCTGCCACAAAATGAGTATTGGTTTTAAGATTTAGAATATACAAGGGCCACGGTGAGGTCAGGAAATAGGTCATTTTCGTCATTTCTCATTTTTATGCAAATTTTCATCAATTTTACAGCACATTTTCTTTCGGAGAACATAGAGCACACGCTTGCCTATCTACCATATTTATAGATTTTATACACTGATATCAGATGCAGTTTAAGAGTAAAAATCTCAGATAGGCAAACTTTGTGCTCTATGTCTACGGTAGAGGGCTCGCTACTTGATCGGGAGACTGTGAGATTGAATCACGTTTGCGACTGATATAAGTCGATAAAAATAGGTAGCACTTTGATGTGAAAATTGCGGATCCTTCTGATGAGACCTTGAAAACCGAGGTCCCTTGTGAACATTGGTCATTTTAGACCTCCACTTGAAAATAACACTTTATTACACATCTCTCTAAATACACTTAACTCCCACAATATGATAAGGCTACTGTGTAAAATATAAAATGAGTTTGGGGAAGTTTGAGAAAGAAAGTGTGTAGCACGTGAAGTCAGACAGATATTGTTTAAAACAATGTTCCGAAACTTTCTTTAAAAAATGCACGTATAAGAAATGCTCCGGATATTGAGATCAATTAACACGAAAATGGTGTACTTACTACGTGTTAGGATTTCACGGAAAATGCATGGATTGGTCAGGATAGTTTTCTGGGTTGTTGTTGTTGTCATGCAAGAACTGTTCATAAATTGGAAGCTCTGGCCCTGTAACAAAGTTGCTTCATTATCTTGTTATATACATGAATTTTCTTTTTATACACATGTAACTACTAGGGTTGTCCCGTAAAATCATGGACAAAGCGTTTTTCTCGAAAAGTTATGGGCGCACTAAGCTGAAAATCTCAGTAAATGTTTATTTGTCATATTTAAGTGCATGATAGTTGTTCTGATAAAATATAGGCAAAAAAAAAAGATTTTATTATGGTTGAATGCACACAGAGTATTGTCCTACGGCGCACGGACAAAAAAACCCAAGATTTTATTAAAGAATACACAAGTTTGAATTCAAATAAAAGTTTTAAGTACATAAAATTTGGATTACAATTATCCTAATTTAATTCCACAATCAATTTTGTAAAATTGTAAAAAAAAAAATTAAGGCATTTGGTTAATTTTTGGCAGTTTCTCGAGCATTTGAAATGGGAAAGTGGAAACACAATACACGAAAAATTGCGACGTTTTATGACGTTACGGCGCACCGGAGAGCAGTTCCGTTTAAATTCGATGTTGTTATGACACCCCTAGAGACTTGCAATGACAAAAGAAGAAAAAAGATAATAAAAATTTCACAATATCTTAAGTATACAGAGAAAGTGAAATAGGAGTTTTCTAAGCGAATTCTTTTTTGATCGAGTCCCTTCGGAGTACAAAACATACGGACAATCTCCTAATGTAATAGCAAATGGCGCCGTCACAGTAGACCGCTGATTTGAGATTAGTTGAATGATGGTGAGAATATTGTCCGTAACTTAAGATCGCAAGCGGGTGCCAATTGGTTCTTCGACTATTTAGGGAGACCAAAGAATGTGTATCAATGAAATTCCTAAATTTAAGTCTGACTCATCCAACTTCATTTTCAGCAAAGATAAAACGTGACGCTGTTTTAGACATTTTGACGTTATAATCCATGCGCCGTAAGGTGATACAATACATGGTATAAAATCTCATAATTTGTTTCTTTATGCATATATTTATCTAAAATTTGCTGTGTATATTACTTAAATATAAATATACTAAATAATAATGAAAATTTCAGACCGCAGTGATGTTTATTTTTTACACTATACAATACAACTTGTCCACGATTTTACGGGACAACCCTCGTACTAACGCTGCTCTACGTAATAGTAATTTTATTTCTTAGCAGATAAACTTTCCTTGGGAATGAAAAATTATTAGAAGCTCCAAATGCAAATTCAATGTGATATTTTTGGTAAGGAGTGTTTCCTTAGCTCAAAAAAACATTTTTCATATTGTCATATATAAATTAAAAATACTTCAGAGAATTAACTTCTGATGCATTGACTTGCCTACTGATAGATATATTAATAATTTGATGAAGGTTTTTTTTTTCTTATAAAATCATACCATTCGATTATCTTCTATCCTTTTGGAAATGCACGGTCCATCTCCAAAAGGAATCTTTCGAAAATACTTTAAACTTATCCTTTGGTTTGTGTTATCATATTGCATAGAAATCATTTGCTGTGAAAAAGAAAAAGACGATGGTTAAATAACTGATTAAGAAAACAATAATAATTACTGACAACAATTCCTGCTTTCAATGATAAATACTCTTCAAATACTCGTAGATAGATTGATTGTTGTTTTACGTCCTGTTTCTTTCATATACAGACGATACCATATTTTGACAATTTCTCGACACTCAGGGCCATTGAGCAGTAGGGGTACTATATCGTACAAACACTTCCGTAACACAGGTTCTAAGTTTTTAATGTCTCATTTGAAGGACCCGTAACTTTCAGGCCAACAGGCACTCTATCAATAGTGCATTATAAAGCTTCCGGCAGGAATTGCAACGATAAAAGTATGTGTGTATATGTGTATATGTCACCGGTGTTTGGTGCTTGAATGGGGTTATTGAAAAAAATAATAATTGTAATTGACTCTAAATAATTACATTTGTAAAACAATTTGTAATTTGTACGTTTTTTCAATTACTTGGAATTAATTATACTGAAAATATACATGTAATTTCAATAACATTTTTCATTTACATTCAATTACTTTATACAGTGAACATCCATGATATATGGTCATCACAACCTTTTCATTTTGCTTTTTGGGAGTTGAACTATGTTCAGACTCCCTAAGTCGTCACACGGTTTCTAGCGCAGTAATTTTACAATGAATTATATAGCGGCCGTTGTGGTGTTTCTGTGTCAGCCAATTTACTCCCCTGTGATATTCAATACAAACTCGTGCCAGTCTATATAAACTCGAAGAAACTTCCGCAATAAATATAGCCCATATCATTTTTCTGAATTAATCTATTTTCATAAATGATCTGAAAGTAAATGAAATAGAGCTTTATTTAACTTAACTTGAATAGCATATTTTTGTTATCTCTCTTGAGAAATGACACGTAAATTTTGATTTCCGCATGAAAAAGTCCCAGTTTTCTGTTATTTATCATTCGGCAATCCTCAGCTGACTCCACTACGCTTCATTACAAAAAGTGCGATGTCATCCAAGGAGCAACAACTGAGGCCTGTTCAGCAGAGCGAACGTTCGCGAGCGCTCGCCGAAATTCCTTAAACATCCAATAGTAATTTTGGCGAACGTTCGCTAACGTTCGCTCTACTGAACAGGCCTCTTATCTAACTGGTTTAAAAATGATGCGATTGTCTTAATATAGAGATGTAAACAAAGATGTAAGATCAAAAGAACGCTAAGGTTTAACCCAACTTCTGTCAATTTGTTTCAGCAATAAAGAGACAGAACAACGTTTCTTTTTTAAAAAAAATACTGCGGAAAATATCACTGTCAGCCATTTTTTGCTCTGACAAGTAAAATGATCTGTTAGACTGGAAAATTTTTGTCAGACGCGAGACATGCAACTCATTTTTATACGTTGGTAAAGGGAAAAATAATAGTATTAAAGTTTGTTGATATTCGATCTCACAATTTCAAATGACATTAATTTTGCATCCTTAATTTCATGAATTTATCAGCAATCATTTGGTCACGTGTACAACACCAAATCTGAACTTTAAAAATGTGTATGTACTTGCATTGCAGTATTACATTATAAAATGTATCATTTGATTTTATTATATAATTAAAATAGTTAAAATTAATGAATACCTGCGTATTCACGGACACAATGGAATTATAATCCCAATGATCGATCTGTGAGAAAAATCGTTCCTCATGATAACAACTGTTTTTTTTCTTGTAGTAGCTCGTTAAACTATGTCTGATTTTTAATTACATTTGAATCAAATCAAAATCACAAACTTTAAGTCTCATTCGCGTGGCGCAGTTGTTAAAATAGTTTGCTGTAGAGATTCAAAGTAAGGTGTTAATTGATCCTTACGTCGCAGATTCGAATCCCGTGGGATGCATTTGGAGATAAACTCTTTTGATGAGACCATACAAACCGAAATCCCTTGTCGCAGTATGTGCTTGCACAAAACGATCCCTCACTACTCAATGGTTTTAAGTGCCGTTTATAGGTAAAAATTTGTAGACTTACATGTAGCTAGCTCCATCGACAAGTGGTAGTGTCTCAATATGATTGAAAAATTATCGAACGTAAAACAAACAAAATGTAAAGTATTCAGATACTTACTTCTATACAGAATTTACTTAAATTGATATTTAAAATTATCGAATAACAAAACTTGATGATTAAGTTATAAAGATAAATACATTTGATATAATAGATAAGCACGGAGTTCTATAAAAATTAATTATTGTGTCCGAAAAGAAAATTCATACCCAAAAGAGAATAGCAAATACTTGTTTGAATCAGAGGAAGAAAAATGACAATCTATAGTGTCTGGGGATGGTAACATCGAATATAAAGAGTGTTTGTTTGTTTGTTTGTTTCTTGTGACCAAATATCTTGTACACATTCTAAAAAGAGTAGGGGGCGTTTTGATTCAAATGCTTCAGAAATATAAGGGTAGTGTTTGGGTATGAGTAATAAAATGGTACTGAAAGAAGTTTGAAACCTACCCACAAAATAGTATTTTCGAGTTTGGAAAAATTATTTTTTTGGTGGTAGGGGTTGTTTGTTTGGTTTGGTCAAATCGTTAAGGTAAGAAGTAGAAAGAATAAATCCAGAACTAAACTTAATTGTTCGTGCGCAATAAATATACAGTTTTTGAATGGATGGCACTGTAGCTCTCAGGTCTGTCAAATTTTTTTTTCGGAGAGCTACAGTTCTGCAGCTAATTTAAGAGCAGTCCCATGATCCTGACTATTCAAATGCAATAGAAATTATTTTTAATGTTTCGTGTAGTATCTCTAACAAATCAGTTCTAGCTGACTTGAATCTGAAAGCATGAAACTGTTTCTATACTTCCTATGAGATCTTTCAGATTACAATGTTCAACTCCCATAAGTACTTTCAGTACTTTGATTTTAAATTTAATTGTTAAACATATCTTCAGTCCATCAATTATATAAATTTTAATGTTTACAAGTATATGCTTGTATCGATAATAATAATCTAGTTTCATTCTAATCATCATGATTTTTCTTATATGCATTCATTTAAATGAACAACCATTGTTTTGTTTATTCATTATGAAGCATCCAATTATTATATTTCAATATTTATTGTTTGTACAGCATTAAAGAAAAGGAATGAGTGAGTCATAATTGAATGAAGTAATAATTGGCCTGCATATCACAAGTATTAATTACAATGAAAACAAAACTCTTCTAAGAAGGTATTCATTCCATATATTAGAAGACAATGTTAAAGGGGATAATTATCGTATATCTGGAAATTTTTGCTGTAGATAAATTTTTAGGAAATTTGCGAGTGCATTGAATTCACAAAAATATTTTTCTTAAAAATAAATCATCAATAAGAAAATGTAAACAAAGAAATGGTCATTCGCAAAATTTTGAAACGTAAAAATTAATCAACAGCATTTTGACCCCAATTCGCAAAAAAAAAAAATCGACGTAGAAATTTCCAGATTTACGGTAGTCAAAGCTCAAATGCTTTGTTAATTTAGAAATTAATATTAATTTGATGATTATTTTAACATCTTAAAAATATTTTATGAATAGATTTTGTATCTGAAAAAAAAAATGTTCTGTACAAGTATTATGTCTGATGTTCAACTTAAATAGCAAGTTATAATTAGGATGTTCAGGTTCAAAAATGTTTTAATTAATTATGGGTTAAAGTTGCAACTCATTTTACTCTGTTAAGATACCCCTTTTAATCACGTATCATAAACTATGCAATTGTGTACTGCAAGTTTTGCAAGGAAGAAACTGAATCAAATTGATCGCGGATATTTCTTAATTATTTAAAATTTAAGTTATTAATTAAACGACAAAGACACACAATGCCAATATCATTTTTAATGAGTTTACCAGGTGGTATATATACAAATGAATGCAGCTCTGTATAATCATATACAAGTTTAGGATTAAAATTTTTTTTTAGAAAAAATGAAATGAAAAAAAAATTGTTCTTAATGTTTCAATTAATTTTGTAATGTAGTTGTAATTCAATTAATTACAAGTCTTAGAAAGCTTGTAATTTAATTTGTAATTTAATTGAAGAAAAGTTAAAGTAATTGTTATTTAATCTTTTACTTTTTAAAGTAATTGTCCCATCCCTGTTATGTTGACGTTTCTTTATGAGTGAAAAATTTTCAAATGGGAGATTAATACATAATCATAACCATATAATCATTCAATCATCTTTTACATGAAAATATTTGCGTTTCTACTTGTTTTCGCCATGGCATCTCTTTGCAAGGTAGGAACATTTTAAAAGAGAGGTGAGTTGATTTTTAACAATAAAACCCGATAATTCCTTATACAATACAATACAATATACAGAAGTTTATTAACGTTACTTTTTGTCATTGAAATACATGTAGTTATATACAATTTTGCAACAAAATAAGGATATCAAAGTAGCAGCTCATTATGTTTCAAGCTCCCTGACTTACGACGCAAGCCTTACCGTGTGTACTTGTACAAAGACGAATAATGACCCCCCCCCCCCATCGAGAAATGACCTGGGGGTTATCTTTCAATTACAGAGTATGACCCGCTTCAGTAGGAAAAGCATTTTTTGTAGAAAAAAGCTCCAGTGTTTATTATTTTATATGTTACTCTTATAAAATAATTGACCCCCCTTGAAAAAAAAACCTTTTTAGTAATCTGAAAGCATCAAACGGCCCTAAAGTATTTCATTTTAGCATTTTAAAGAATTTTCACAACAAATCTTTAGAAAATAAAAAGCACGTGTACTGTGTATGATACATATCTTTATGTCATACGTGTGGATGATACACTCCGTTGGATAAACCTATAAGAAGATGCTTTTATATTTTATTTTTTTTGAAACTTTTGTATGTGAAAATGATTGCCCAAATAAAATGAATGCTAAAGAACGATAATATCGTTTAAAACAAGAAAAAGTCGTACGTGTCTGTCCAAGAATTGTCTTATTTTATCAATGATCCTGTATTGGCTACTTGAAGAGAGATCAGACTCCCAACCCCCACCCTTTTTTTACATCGTTTTAGGAGAAAGGAAAGCCAAAGCAGTTATGTGGTTGTAAAAATATTCCTTTAACATCTTTATATTATACTACGTATGTTTACATTGTCATGTAGGTGTTACTTAACCTGGATCAACAATGAATCTACCAGTAGACCCGTAGCAATGCCTAACAAGTTTTGTACTACCATCGAACTTTTCACGATCCAATGGTCCTTACGCCTTTAAGTCAGAAGTTCGTTTGATGTTAAGCTCCAGCAATTGTCACATAATGTTTTCAAAGACGCAGATAGCAAACATTCTACATTTTGATTTTATTTCTTCTCCGTCATCAAGATATACATCAACGATTTTAATTGGCAATAATTCATGTAGTTTTGCAGGGGAAGTCTCAATTTTTTAAAAAAAAAAACAGAGTTCGTATAAGATAAATAGAACATCTATAATTCTTTGATTTGATATTAGCTTTATCCAACTCGTTGAAAGGTCATATATTCGCTCAACAAACCTTGCGAATATATACACCATTTCAGCAAGTTTGATAAAGCCAATATCAAATCACATAATATAGATATCCTCTATTTATTTAATTTTTTAGAATGATCAAACGATGTAAATTAATTCGTGTGTATAAGGGCATGTTCGCAAGCTAGAAGTCCTGCGTCGACACGTTGCCGTTGTCCAAAAATTTATAAGCCTAAGAATTCTGGCATGAAAGGACTTGCAACATGCTGATATAGCGCATCTTTGCCATGGATCGTGTTATATAATAATGCAGATGATCTATTGCAATAGGATAAAAAAAAATGCTGTATCATTTGTAAGAAATGTTTTCAAAACCAATATTAGATAAAGCTATTTTTCTTTAAACTTGTACAAGTTATAAGTTATATCATATCCGGAAACTACTCAATTTATTTTGATTCCATGTTTTATGCACGTTCATCTTTGGGAACAGTTCATGCAAAAAACGTTTTATACAATCAGAAATCAATGGAGGAGAAATGAAACTTAAATAAATTAAAACCTAATAACAACCATTATCGCAAAGTATAAAGCTCATTTTGAAACCTTTATTCATAATCCTATTTACCTTGTCATTTGTCATTTGCAAAATTATTTTGTTAAAAACATTCTGATTGTACATACAAGTACTCTTAAGTCTCTGATTGACAATATCTGTGTTATTTTTGGTGACTTGGTCTTCCAATATCTATTGGAATTCCCATGGGTACCAATTGCGCCCAATACTAGAAGACCTATTTTTGCATTCTTATGAAACAGAATGATATTAAGAAAATACATGTTGTGGCTTTCAACTCGGTATTTAGATTATAGACGACTTATTGTCAATTAACAAAGGTAATTTCCATTCCTACGTCGATACGATATATCCTTGTGAGCTTAAGCTAAAAGATACCACAGAGTTTGAGACATTTGTTTAATACTTAGATATTTTACTTGAAAAAGATATGAATGGTAATAAAACAACCAAGCTCTGATGACTTTTACATTTCTATCGCCAACCTCCCTTACTTATGCAGCAATATACCTTCATCACCTGCTTACGGAGTTTATGATTTAAGTAGAACATGCTCTACGTATGAACAATATCTTATACCAGGTAAACTGTTGACATTAAATAAGAATAATAGGAGTATCCTTTGTAGTCATCATTTTGATACAATGACATTGTCAGCAAACACAATTTATCATTGAGTCAAACTGGCGTTTTTCGTACTAATTTTTAATATTATATCTATTATTATTATTATATATACACTGAATACACCGTTATTTCCTGATCATAATAACAAGCACACAACAGATGTGGCCGGTCGGCAGGGGATGAGTATTCCTCCATGGCAGCCGACCCCACCTCTGGTGTTTTGGTGGTCTGATATTGTTTTACCTTTATCTTTCATACTATTCATTATCTCTATATATTTCATTCATGAATTTTATGTTTGTTATTAATAAAGAATAAATTTATCGAGAAAATGAAAACATATGGTGTTGGTCAATTCCCCATGTGCACATTCTAACACAACCAACATTTCATGATCAGATATTTATTTCGGGTGCCACAAAGCAAAACATATATTTTGTCATTATAATCATATAAGAGGTGGGTGTGGGTGATGGTTATCATCTAGTGAGCTCATAGCTCCCAGTACCTCTGGATTATTTAGATACTTAACGGGTAATTGTGCGAAATGTATACATGCATGTTAAAAAGGAATGGTCCTCAATGAATTTTCCTATTTTGCTAAAGTATGGAGAAAACGTTACAAAATGACATTAAATGTTCTGATATTCATATCAAACACTCTACAAAATATACACAGAAAAGAGAAAGAGGGTGTAATAAAACAACATATAACTGGAGGTTCTTTGACCACTGAACTCCCTAAGTGAAATTTATTCATTAATACTTGTCGGAAAAAAAACATAAAGTAGACGATGCATAAGGAAACTATTGTACGAAGATTTTATCTGTAAAATGCTTTATAGGACGGTGGAATTACCTTTAAATAGCAATAATTGTTTTATTTAAAGAGATCAAAGTATCATCCATTTCTTCACCATTTAGCTCAGGTGACGATTTTGGCAAATAGGTCCCTTTTTTTTATTTTTTGCCCTCTTAAAAATTTAAGCTTTAATCCATAAGGGCGTTAATATCTGCGGAGGTCATTTCTTTATATGGATTCTGCAATTCTCTTTAATTTTGGGGGGATGAAACTTTTTCTATGGGCAAACGGGTCATTTCCGACGTCAAATAATGCCCAGGGTCATTTTTCGCTTAGAATAATGATCGGGATTTCTTTGTCGACATCGAAAAAGACTCACGGTAAATATTCTATGGGGGTCATTATTCGTCTTTACACCGGCCCTAAAAAGTATATCATTTCCATATGCATAGCTCTGTTATTAAAAAAAATTGAAAGGGTTAAGACGGGTTATAAGAGATTCTAAAACAATTTTGTCAATCCGATAAAAAAACCGAACATCTTTGGTGTAATAAACAATCCTTTGAAATTAACTTACAACAGACAATCTAAGGTGGTAATATTTAAGAAAATCGAAATTTTTTGCTCTGGTGAAGTTAGTTCAAAGAATAATTAAATAGAAAACGGGAAAAGGATTTTGACCAGGAAACGATAAGTAATAAAAGAAGATATCAAAATTAATAAACTCGATTTAGAAATACATATATGCATTATAATTGAGAAATAATAAAAATTTCAGAGAGATTATTTGACATCAAGAAACTTACATCAAAAAATCTAGCGTTGATTCTACTTCTGTAGTTGATTGCTTGTAAGCCAACTTGGTCGAAAATAATCGAGAACTGTTGATTTAAGCAAGAAACATCTGGGGTGGTAGTCTGGCAGAGCAACACTTCCAGAATAGAAATTAGCAGGAGCACTGGAAACATATTGACTCTGCACATGTTGAGGTTCAATATGTAGTGTATCATTTGCCGGTGAATGTGATATAGAAATGCGATAAGAAAGTGCACTGGTTTGAGCAGTACAATTTGAAACAAAACTAGTATTAGAGTATATCAGAATGTTAAGGTCTCCATTGAATACATTTTGATAGTAAAGAAACGTTTCTATTACTTCTAATAGTAGTTTAACGCAGGTAAAAAATGATCGTATTTACAGAAAGCTATTGATGTGGCAAAAAATTGGCGAGACAAACCACCATATGAAGGTGAAAGTGAAATAGTATCAAATTAATTAAATTTTAAAGTTATTAACATTCTGAAGAGTTTTATTAAGATCCATGTCTGATTTTCCCCAAGTCTAGAATATACTGTGCATATCTTTTACAGGAACTTAAAAAATATATTAGTAATGAGTATAGATAAGGGCATATTGTACACTGGTATGACCCAGCAATGTATTTGTGCTTGTAAGGAATGTTTTGATGTTTTTTGGCGTCAGTAAAGGTAAGGTATTTCGAGATTACCTTGGTTTAATATCAAATTCAAAATATTGCTTACAAAGCCGTAATGTCATGATAACTTTAGAAGAAAATTGAAAAACTTTTCAAGGTTTTATAATGAGTAATTAGCCCTTAAGACCATGGGTGCAATTATAACACAATTCATATCATATTTAGCTCAGAATAACTCATATGATGGGATAAATACATATGTATTTTTTCTTTATTAATGATTTCGTTATATAGTAGCCTATTTTTAACACCCCACAAATTTAAAGAAAGTATTGTCAACTTATTTACATTGTTCGTATTTAAAGTACTGTTATTTTGAGTTAGCTGTTCTCCTGCGCGCCCCTACCTAGAACGATGGGGTGTTGACCCTTGACGTGGCCTTTTCAATGATTGACGCTCGTCAGTTCTCCGTGACGTTTCTCGGTTCGCTGGGTTTTGCTGGACTGTAACTGTCTCGGGAGTGGATCCAACGGGTGGAATGTATTTTTCTCCATCGATATAAAGAACATCACGGACTAGATGTATTCTCTTCTTTTTGTCTTTCATTGCCTGACGCATCACTGGGTAAAGCTTCTTCCTTCTCTCTTCAATTTCGGTAGGGAATTGTTCATTTACCCAGATATTGGTTCCGCTGATTCTCCTTGCGGCGTTTGTGGGGATAAATTCACAGTCTTTGAAGAAGCTGAACTTCACCGCAATATTCCTCGGGTACTCATTGAGTTCACTCCTTTTACCAACCCTGTGTACTCTTTCAAACGGTATCACATACTCTGTTCTAAATTTCCTATGAATGAGATCCTGCAGCACCCTCTCTGTTTCTTCCCAGGCACGCTCTGGGATACCGGTGAACTCGAGTTTGATGTATGTACAGTTATACTTGGTGCTTCAGCAGAAGACACAACTATTAATCTTATATTGCTACTTATTAAACAATACATTTTTCAACAATCAAGAAAAAACCAAAATACTAGTATAACTATTCAAAGTGTCATTTAATACTTGCATATGTATTATAAATTTGAAGAAAACCTGTATAAGGTTAACAATAAACTTCATTTGTATAAAAGAAGATGGAATGACTGGAACCACATATTTGAAAGCATAATTATCTAGATATATGTCTTTTATATTATCACATTTGTGTGATTTGTGTATTTATGATCATATTTCTTTTTTTTCTTTTTTTTCATGATATTCCAAAAAATGTACATTTTCAACTCTCCCGGCCCTGGTGTGTCTGTGTATGTTTATGTATGTTAGTAGGTATGTAGGTGATAGTTAATAAATTAATTAAATTTTAAAGTTATTAACATTCCGAAGAGTTCTATTAATATCCATGTCTGATTTTCCCAAATTCTAGAATGTACTATGCATATCTTCTACAGGAACTTAAAACATATATTAGTAATGAGTATAGATAAGGGCATGTTGTACATTGGTATGACCCAGCAATTTATTTGTGCTTGTAAGGAATGTTTTGATGTTTTTTGGTGTCAGTAAAGGTAAGGTATTTCGAGATTACCTTGGTTTAATATCAAATTCAAAATATTGCTTACAAAGCTGTAATGTCATAATTAACTTAAGAAGAAAATTGACAAACTTTTCAAGGTTTTATAATAGGTAACTGGCCCTCAAGACCATGGGTGCAATTATAACACAATTCATATCATATTTAGCTCAGAATAATCATATGATGGGATGAATACATAAGTATTTTTTCTTTATTAATGATTTCGTTATAAAGTAGCCTATTTTTAACACCACAAACATTTAAAGAAAGTATTATCAACTTATTTACATTGTTCGTATTTAAAGTACTGTTATTTTTAGTTAGCTGTTCTCCTGCGCGCCCCTATCTAGGACAATCGGGTGTTGATCCTTGACGTGGCCTTTTCAAGGATTGACGCTCGTCAGTTCACCATGACGTTTCTCGGTTCGCTGGGTTTTGCTGGACTGTAATTGTCTCGGGAGCGGATCCAACGGGTGGAATGTATTTCTCTTCGTCGATATAAAGAACATCACGGACTAGATGTATTCTCTTCTTTTTGTCTTTCATTGCCTGACACATCACTGGGTAAAGCTTCTTCCTTCTCTCTTCAATTTCGGTAGGGAATTATTCATTTACCCAGATATTGGTTCCGCTGATTCTCCTTGCGGCGTTTGTGGGGATAAATTCACAGTCTTTGAAGAAGCTGAACTTCACCACAATATTCCTCGGGTACTCATTGAATTTACTCCTTTTACCAACCCTGTGTACTCTTTCAAACGGTATCACATACTCTGTTCTAAATTTCCAATGAATGAGATCCTGCAGCACCCTCTCTGTTTCTTCCCAGGCACGCTCTGGGATACCGGTGAACTCGAGTTTGATGTATGTACAGTTATACTTGGTGCTTCAACAGAAGACACAACTATTAATCTTATATTGCTACTTATTTAACAATACATTTTTCAACAATCAAGAAAAAAAACAAAATGCTAGTATAACTATTCAAAGTATCATTTAATACTTTTATATGTAATATAAATTTGAGGAAAACCTGTATAAGGTTAACAGTAAACTTCATTTGTATAAAAGAAGATGGAATGACTGGAACCACATATTTGAAAGCATAATTATCTAGATATATGTCTTTTATATTATCACATTTGTGTGATTTGTGTATTTATGATCATATTTCTTTTTTTTTTTCACGATATTCCAAAAATTTACATTTTCAACTCTCCCGGCCCTGGTGTGTCTGTGTATGATTATGTATGCTTGTGTTTAAAGTAAAAAAAACAATAATTTTTATTTACCCCCATCCCCCTTTGTCCTAGTTTTATTGAAATATCGAGATTATCAAATTTTTTTAAATATCCCAATTTTTTGTTAAAAGACATGTGCATTGTTCTTAATAGTATTAATCAATATTATTATCAATATCTTAAAAATGATGCTATGTATGATTTAACGAATTAGTCGGACTGACAGAAGGAGGGTATTTATCAACACAATGTAAAATTGTTATACACGAGGGTTGTCGCAGAAAAACGCAAACTTTATATATTAAATTTGTACAATATACACCGAATATCTGACCACATTTATTCAAAATCTTCACCCTGCACCTACTATCTATCATTGCTAGAACATGTGCACATTTTCGACCAGAATTTAAATGTAAAAAAGGTGGGGTGGGGGAGGGCAGATAATTTATTTCCTTCCAATAAAGGATATATATTTTTTTTTCAAAATTACTCAACTCCTTTATTACCCAGATACCACCCCCTCTCCGCCCCCTTCAGAATTAAGCGAGAATCCTCTTATAGATATAGAAACTAAAAGAATGTCTTGACAATGTCGTATGAGTTTTGTATTATAACAGATTTATTACATTGCAAGTTGTTTTAAAGGTTGTTGCTATAATTTATCATTTACCAAGCTCAGCAGTCGCAATGTGCTTCTACAATTTTCATTGTCAAAATCGATATTTACAGTATGAAGGAACTCTGACTTTCTCATGCATCGATAAACTCTCCCTGAAAGAGATAAAGAATATTTACGGGGTTTAAAATATGAACCCTTTGTAAAAGCATTTGCCCTTTGTTTTAGTCTCAAAGTGCGTTCGTATGACAAATATTTTGCAGAAAAATCATAAGTAACTTCGGATAAGTCAACCGGCGTCAACTTACTCGCCATGTTGATAATGTCGGATCATCTTTGGATTTATCACTCATAGCGTGAAGGGCGGGGTTATGCGATACGTTTACACGTATAGTGAATTGGAATTTTAAGAATTAACACGCGTCGCTTGTCAATGTACATGTATAAGTGTTACTACATGTAGTTGGTGATAAATTTGATTGATTGATTGTGTATATTGTTTAATGTTCCTTTCGAGAATTTTACACTCATATGGAGACTTCACCGTATGCCGGTGAAGGGCTTCAAATTGTTTACCTTTACTCAGCACTCAGAGCCATTGAGTAGTGAGGGGTCTTTATCGTGCCAAAAGCCATTTTACCATTGCTGCTTAGATATGCGACATTATCCCTGAACCTCTCTACATTAATATTAGAGGGTGCGTTACTTTTTTCAGGAAAATTTTTCTCAATTTTTGCATCTATTTCTCTTTTACTCATATTTATCGAGAGAGAGAATATCATGTCATACAAGTTATGTACAGCCTACTCCGTATATATTGAAATTCAGGGGACTATGCAAATTATTTCAATATATCCGTAATTCAATATAAGCAAAATCGTGAAGCCGCCATTTTTTTTAATTAAAAGTTCAATCCCAATCTCAAAATAAAGAACAAACCCGAACAAATTAATTTTTTTAATTTAATTTTACCCATAACAGTGTACAGATTACATGGAATATTAGTCCTTGAAAGTTTAAATGAAATTGTTTCTTTCTTTTTTTTATCAAGAAGACAATCTTCAACTTCATTATTATTCTCCGATCGCATTAATTCACATTTCGGGGAAAATCTCTGATGTCAAACTGTTGAGTACTGCTGAACGCTGCATGTATTTCATCGT